ATTTGGACCGGCCCAATTGATCCGAGCCTGGACCAAATTGGGTGTCTACAGTTGGAATACAGCATACAGACTCAGCCTATAATTATCTTTTTCAAAGTTTTGGACAACCCATCGGTAAAGCTGAATTGACGGAGTTAGATGATAAATATTAGGTACAAGCACATCGATATATTCTTTTTCATCATGACTCAATCGAATCGTTTCGCACGTAAGTTGTTTATCAAGCAAATTATACATTATAGTAGGCATAATTTATTGTGTTTTTTTGTGTTAATACTTTATCATGATGCTTTATAGTGAGTATAGAAATAATTTGAGAGATCCTGCATATTATCAATGATCAAACCCTCGAAAGGTTGATAAGTTATTCGCTAAAAATTTTTATGAACAGTTAGGAGCAACTGTAAATAATGCCATACTTCTCATTATTTTTTATCTACATAGAATGCTTACGGTAAAAATAATATTAATAATATATATTTATTCCACTTTTATAAGTTTGGAGTAAAATGCTTGTTAGTGAAGAGGTAAAGTATCTTTCACACGGTCCGAGTCGAATTGTAAAATGATACAAAGGTTTCATCATCAATGGATTTAGATTTCACATAAAATCCCATGAGAGATTTAGAAGTACATAAAATTCAAAAGTTGTTGTGACTTCATCAACTACTAGCTATGCTAGTGTTAGGGACACAAACCTTTTAGAGGGAAATGTTGACTATTATGGCATGATTAATGACATCATTGAGTTAGATTATTATGGTAAGTGAAAAGTTATCTTATTTCAATGTGATTGGACAAATGTGAATAGTACGAAAGATCTTAAGAAAGATCAGTACGGATTTACACTTGTTAATTTTTCTTGATTAATTCACACAGGGTAACACCTCATCAATGAACCTTATGTATTTTCATCTCAAGTCAAACAAGTATTTTACTTTGAAGATAAAAAGAATTGAGTTGGTTTGTTGTTCTTCGAAACACACCTAGAGACTTATTTGATATGGGGTTAGATACCAAAGATGATGTTGAACATGAAACTAGATGTAATATTTTTACTGAATAAAACGTGGATGAGAATATCTCCTGTACCTACGCTTAGTGGATCCACGAAGATGTTACTGAAGACATTTACGAACCATGATTTTATGTACCTATAATTTGTAATTCGAGTGTTTAAGATATAATATAGTAAATAATAGTATGTAAATAATGTCACATTCGCTATTGTATAATTATTGTCTTCTAAATCATACATTATATTTTGATTTAATTAAATTGATATATTTTTTTATATATTATAGGTTTTGATTTCTTAAATTGAAAATATCTTTATATATTTCTGAACTAAAATTTTTTTTATATTTACTTTTATGATGTAGGTAAGCTACAATACAGAGAAATAGGTTGAAAGAAAAATATATCAGAGATATTAGTTCAGAACCGTCGACAACACCTATAGATATTGGCTATGGATTGAATCTTTTGGAGAGAAATGAACGTACTGTCGAATTTAACTCCATCACTTCTAATCCTTCAACTGATATTGGATCTAGCAATACAGAAAGTCCACGTTTAGATAGTACCCCATCAATTGATTATGCTTTAAATTCGAATGCATGTATGATATACTCCAATTTTAGAATTCAAGTATAATGATAAAAAGTATTAGTGAAAAGGCTTAACTATTGGTTGAATTTCTACGCATGCTAGCCCGTAATAGAATGAAATTACCTATTTATTATGAAACATGGCATCATATTCCAGAAGAAGTTAAGGTCGATGCGTTAAACTTTATTAAGGTATTAGTATAATTAATTAGATGATTCAAATTTTTAATTTTACATTTTGTTTACTTATTCAAACTTTTTTTATTATATTATTACAGTCAAGATTTGTACTTGAAATACCAACTTTCTATGTGCTTAAGTCCTTGGGAAAGAAATGGAAAGATTATAAGCATAGTTTGAAGAATAAGTATTTCGATCGAAATAGTACTGTAGAGGCGATGATGCAAAAGCTACCACGTAATGTGATTAGGTGGTAATATGAACAACTGATTAGATTTTGGTTCTCAAGAAAAAGAGAGGTACTAGTTTATAACTTTGTCTAATAGAATGAAATGATGAATGTGTTTGATGGTTTAAGTTGTTAATATTTGAATTTTTATCATATAAGCAATTATTTTTTATGACAGGAAATAAAACAGATTGGGGTTGGTAGCAGAAGCAACAGAAATATAGCCACACAAGTGGATCAAAAAGTTTTACAAGAAAGCAAAAAGAAATCGTAAGTTTATGATAATTAACTTATTCCAATTAATGAACTTTTTTTATCGTTGAAAGGCAAATATGGAAATTAACATTTATTGTTATGTTTTAATAGATTTGATTGTTTCAATACATGATATTAAACTTATCAAAAGTTTTGAACTTAGTTACACAGATGATATGTATGAAAAGTTAATGTTTACGTATATTTACGCCTTTATTATCTGGTTGTTGTTATTGTTGATTTTTAATAGTTTCGATACCTTCAACACTTGATATTAAGCTTATCCGATTGATTAAAATTGGTTTCTATGGTTAATATGAGAGAAAAAGTTATCAGTTATCTCTGTTTGAGAATATTTTTGCATATAAAAGGTAAATATACAAATAAATTTTGGATGCTTTCAATATACTGAATGACTTTAATCCTTCATATTGAATCGAAAAAAAATAATTGAATTTGGTTTCTATGATCGATATGTGTGAAAGCCCAAAATACTTTTATTCTTTGCGTATATTTAAGACTATTATGTTGTTACAGGGCCAAAATATAAATAAAAGAGATTAAAGTTATTCAAAATTTTAATACTTGATTTGACATGATTGATATGCATAAATAAGTTACGGTTGATATATATCCTATCAAATAACATATATTTTTGTATAAGAAAATGAGATAGGCGGTACAATTAGACGTATGAAACTTTTTCATATAACACACAAAAAAAAATATGGATCTTACATGAATGTCGAAACACAAGAAATTATGATAATTTGTATCATCTATTTTAACATAAAGTAAATATTAACTCTTTTTATCATATAATCAATTAGTCATTAAACTTGATTGTTGTATATGACAAATTTACAGGAGAAAGCGAAAGAGAAAATGACTGCTGAGATTGAAGTAGCATATGAAGGTTTTCTCAACATGCAAGAAATGAAAAATCAGATATTCATAGAAGTTGTTGAAAAAGAAAGGCATGGACGGGTTCGAGGCTTTGGATTGGGTCTAACAATATCTGCCTACTGTGGACATAACTCTCTGTAATTTACACTCTCAGTAAGTCAGTCTTCGCGAGACATTTCAATATTGAGAAGGGAGTTACAAACTATGCAACAACGTTTTCAGCAAATGGAAGCAGAAAGAGAACATGAGATTGCCAAATTGAAGAAGAATGTGTTAGAATGGAACTAGAGCGTGCAAAATTTCAGCAGTTGCATGATCGATTCGATCATCTTATGAATTTTGTGCAACAATAATTTTCAAAAAATGATCTTAGTGTTCCATCAACTCAGGTATTATACTTAGTAAATATTAAAATTTTTAAATAAAAAATAAGCATACAATGAAGTGTTAAAAATTGTATGACATTATTCAGTAGGCTGTTGAGCATGCTAATGACCAAGGTGGAAATTTTTTTCATCAATTGGCAGCCAACAAAATGTATGTAGTCATTCATTTCATACATTTTAATTTTTTATTTGGTTAATATATTTACAATATTTGAATGTTATTATACTAATTATTAAATTTTGTATTCATTAAATGTATATTTAAACGTTAATGAAGTTAATATTAATTTCAGTTTCTGAATTTAAGCTCTTTACTGAAAATAAAATTTATTATAAAAATTATATAAAAATAATATTTTTACAAAATGGCATCGTTTGCATTAGGCAATGCCATTAAATGAATAATTTAGTGGCGTTTGTAGCATAAAAATTCACTATAAGTAGCGGTGCTTTTTCCAACAAACGCTGCTAGTTCGGTGGCATTTTTAATAGAAACGTCACTAAAGTAACGGCGTTTTTTTCATAACAACGCTACTGAATTAGCGGCGCCTAAAAGATACAAACGCCACAAATATTGAGGCGTTTTCAAATTCAAACGCCATGCAAAGTAGCGGCATTTTCTATTACAAACAATATTAGTGCAACGACGTTTTTCTCATAAAAATGTCATTGAAATAGCGGCATCTTTAAGATATAAACGCCGCTAAAATGGCGGCGCTTCACATACGAACGTCGTTAATATTGAGACGTTTCTTCAAAAATGCTGCTATTTACTGTGACGCGTGTATAGACAGCACTCTGTGTGGTGTTTTTTTGTAAACGTCGCAACCTTATAATGGCGTTAATAAATACCACTAAACGATTAAAAAAACGTTGCTAAAAATCAAAACTCCTATAATAAATGATAGAGTTTAACAACTTTGTAAATTAAATTTAAATTTTGTTTCGTAATGTGATCGTGTGATTTCCATTGCATTAGAATCAAGTTTGAGGATGAAAAGTTCGGTGCGGTGAGAATCTTTTATCGTTGCATGATGTTACATTATCAAATAAATATTATACAGTTATCATGTATCTATTGAATAATTAAATGATTAAATTTTTTATTATTTTCGTATAGTATTACTATTAGTATGCTTAGGCAATGTTGTTGATGACACCTAGATAATGGAGGAAACAGCAACCTGATAAACAAAGAACCGAACAATTTGTATTAGGTTGTGCTTTCAACATGATGAGTGTGTTAAAGTAGACAATGACTAATCCTGGGCAGCAGAACGTGATTCATGCAAACAATGCAAAAGCGAAAGCTTGGTTCTGTCATCTATTGTGAAATGAGTGTCGCACATTTTTCAAGGCTATGAAAGAAAATTAAAGGTTTTTTTTTTATTCTTTCGTGAGAATTATACCTTTCAACTTTCATCCAAACTGACAGGCTACAAAAAACTACTAAAAGAGAGAGATATCTCGTGTAGTAGGCCTAAGAGAAATACCGGCATGCGACGGATTCTCTACATGAATGCTGCGACACTGATCTGTTTAGAGTCTGTCCAAGGGTCCCGACCCGATGGGGCCATGGCCAACCATTCTCTTCCTTTATGTTAATTGACGTCTCCATTCTCCATAAAGCGCGTGCGCTGCACATCTCCTCCTCTCCTTCTTCCATTTTTATGGTTCTCACTTTCTCAGTTTTACACCGCTATCGTTTCTCCGTAGGCAACACCTTCTCTTTTTTCAGCTCTTCCGACTATCAGGTGAAAGTATTTCTTTTATCTCTTTTTCTCTCTTGCTATGCATGACTTTAGGTTCTCCAGTTTCATCATCTCTCTTTTACTTGATTTTCTTCTTTGATGTTAAACGTTAATGTATTCTTCCGTGGGAGTTTCAAAGGGAGAAAAAAAAAGTTATTTCACATGATGATTTCTGTTCTTAAAGGAGTTAATCATTTTTTTTTGTTCGTTTTGTTCATCTGTTGCTTGTATAAATGTATTTGTTATGTCATCTGATGGCTTCCAATTATTCTCATTGCTATATTCTGTTCAAAAAGGAAGAAGAAAGATGGTTCTTTTGTTTCTCTCTTCGGATGAATAACTTCTTGTTCATATTTTTTTGCAATGAAACTTCAGTTTGAAAAGATCGATGCTTTTTTATTGTTGTTATTTTCAAGTTTTATGTTTTCTGGAAAATGCTTAAAACCCATCAGGAGTACTCCAAAGTGATTACAGAAATGTAGGTTTTGCTCATCTACAATTGTTTTTGTAATATATATTTTAAATATTTTATAACTGAAGGGAGTTTTTTTTATAAAAATTAGAAAGACAAAGGACTTATCAGTAAATAATTCAATTTTTAATAAGCTTAACTTATACTGCTATTTTTTGTCGACAACTGATCAAAAGAAAATAAAAGTTTATTTATTTATTCTTTTTTATACAGAACAAAGAACAAACAAGTCAAAAGATTTCAAGTAAAGGGTAAGAACAAAATCTATAAAGAGAGTTATCTTTTATAGGTGAATAAATAATTTTTTTTTAATTTTGAATAAATAATATTGATTGTTAAGTCTTGAGGTATAACTTATAATAAAAAAACTCTAAAACTTTAAAAAATCCATTATCCCTCTTCAAGATTGGTTTGAGCAAATCATTTAGACTTTAATAAGAGTTTAATAAAGTGTTGAGAAAGTTTATTTCTTCTTTCTTTCTTATACAAAACAAACAAGTCAAAAGATTTCAAGTAAATGGTAAGAACAAAATCTATAAAGAGTGTTATCTTTTAGAGGTGAGTAAATAATTTTTTTTTAATTTTGAATAAATAATGTTGATTGTTAAGTCTTGAGGTGTAACTTGTAATAAAAAAACTCTAAAACTTTAGGAAATTCATTATCCCTCTTCAAGATTGGTTTGGGCAAATTATTTAAACTTTAATAAGAGTTTAATAAAGTGTTGAGAAAGTTTAGTAATGTGATTTTATTGTTGTAAAAATAGAAAATATAAATTTGATAGGATTAGAAAGAAAATTTTTTGTTTTGTGTAAACCTTGATGTTTGCAGTGATGGATTAAGATAATTTTTGTATTAAAAGATAAAATATTGTTATTATTATTATATACTGTTAGAAAGCTTGCTGAATTGAATTTACAATGAAATAAACAAAAGTCAATTCTGAGTTTTCTATGGAGAGTAGTTTAGTTTTTACTTAAAGATGTGCAAACTACCTAGTAGCAGCAGTAGGGAGAAATTATGAAATTCCTCTTAATTTTTATATAAGGAATTACATATTAAGCCATATATGTTTGAAAATTTTATTGAGTCTACTTTTCAACAAAATAAGTAGAATTGAATTTGAAGTTTCTTATGAATAAATGTGTAATTTTTATTAGAAGGTATACATGCTGTCTAGTAGCAACAAATGACATGAATTGCAAAATTTATTATAATTACTCTACAAGGAATCACAATATGAACCATATATGGTTAAAAATTTTATCGAGTCTAGTTTTTAACACATTAAAAAGATCTTAATTCTAAGATGGATATCTTGAGATATGGCTACTTCAGTGAAAGAAGCTCAGGCTGTCAATATTAATTAATTGAGTTAATCCTTGTTTAACTTAATTAATTTTGGTATAATTAGTCTCAAAATGGGTTGATTGATTTTTGTTATATTGAAATTATATTGAATAGACTGTTAATTATTTTGGGGCAAAAACTAAGTGGTAGAATTGAAAGAAGGTAAGTAAAATCTCATACACTTTACTTGTTTTCGAACCTATGTATATATGTATGTTTCTAAATGAGTAAATGTTTTATTTCATTATTTTTGATATATGAAAATAGGACCAAGCATATGATTATTTTATATTTTTGCTATGTAAATGATTAATCATACTTATGAAAGAAATGAGAAAATGATTTATGTTTAAGGAATCATTTTCTGATAGCTACGTTTTTACATCATTGAGAAGTGAAATCATCGATACTAGAACTAGTTTTATAGCTTTGGCTAATGGGTTATAATAGTTAGCATAGCCCTGATCATATAGCCTTGCTAACAGGTTATAGTAGTTAGCATTAGGCTCTGGTTAGCGAGTTATAATAGTTAACAATGATTATGATGATGAAATTTTTGATACAACTGATGTCACGGGTTATAACAGTGATCATAGCTAAAGATGAACTAATGATTTATGATGGTTTGTGATGATTTTAAATATTGATCCATGATTTGTAAATGAAGATGATTTACAATGATTTTTAATGAGTGATTGATGATTTAGTTTGATTACGATATTTGAATGGTAGCATATTTTGTAATAATTTATAAATTAACATATTTTGATATTGATTTATGAATTTACGAAATATTTGATAGAACAATGATCTTTGAAATGTTTTTAACATTATAATTTGATGAATGTTTCGAATGATTTGTATGATATGTATGAAAACGATACTTGTTTCAGTAAGATATGTGAGCTTATACTTGCTAAGTTGTGGTTTGCTTACTTTCCTTTTACTTTTTCTTTACAGATAGTAAATGATAAGTTTACTTAGTTATGTGAAAAGCTAGAAGATTATATCTGAAAGATTACTCGGACATTAGAGACATTATTGGCTAGTAAGCTCTTATGAAGCGGTTTAGTATTTTTATTAGTTTGCATTTGAGAATATGAAAATTTCTTATTAGTTAAATTCAAGTTACAAATTTTCTTGAATAAATTATTTTTTGAAAAATTTTAAAATGATTAAAAAAAAGATTCATATTATTTTGGAGTTTTACTTTAAAATAATATAACTATGTTAGGTCTCGATTTCATGTATGACAGTTTTAGTTTGTCATAGTTAATTTGCTGCCTGTCTAATTTCAAATTAGTATTTTTGAAGTGTTTTAAGGATTGGCATTTTGGATTCATATGATCCTGACACTTTGAATTAAGTCAGATATAATTATGAATTTTTTGACGATCAATGAGTGTATATCACACATTGGCCCTCACATTATAGATGGTTTGGAGTAAATAATTGTATAATTATAGCAAAACCATAGTAGGTGATCATGAATCCATGATTAAGGAGTAACTTTTCTGTAAAATTCTGACAGTTGGGACGTTTTACTGATTAGCACATGGTTAATATTATTCATCATTCAGCCTTCATCAACTTGGAATATGTTTGATATTTATTGTTGATCTAGTGTTAGGCTTCTTTTGCCTGCATTTTGTTTTGGTTATAACATAGGCTTTTGAATTGTTTCCTGAAATATTAAAATTGACCAATCTTTTCATTCAATACAGTGATCTAGGGCTAGGTTTCATACAAAGAGAAGTTTCTTGAAAAAAGTGTTCGAAAGATCTTCATGGCAGATGCTACTGACCCATTTCCCGACTTGGGGAGTGTGTACAAAATTTCCAGTCGCCAAGTTAATCAACTAAGTCAGAATGTGGCTGACATCAAGCTAGCTTCTGCACTGGTTGGTGACAAGGAGAACTCATTGGAATCCAAAAACAGAGTTGCCGTAAATTCTGGGTTTCCTCAAGATTCTACTCCTAATGTTTGGGGACATCCAAATGTGATTCAGAAACTTAGAATGCAAGGTAATAGTGCTTCAGAAAAGGCTACTTACCATGCCTGGCAGACTCAAAATGCTGTTTCTTGGAATTCCTTTGGACGTGGAAGTGCATGGAACCAACAAGGTGATGGAACAAGGGGAAACAGTTGTATAAAATCTCCATGTTCAGAGCATGGAAGGAATGACCGTGCTCAAGTTGGTGATAATTTAGATGGTGCGATTGGAGTTAATGAATATGATGATGACTGTAATATTGTTTACGATAGTGATGATCTCAACGACTATGTTTCTGATTCGGATGAAAATGAGAAGAGCCATGAAGCACGCAAGAAGAACAAGTGGTTCAATGCATTTTTTGAAAGTTTAGAGAAACTGACTGTTGAGGAGATTATATCACCAGTTCAGCGGTGGCACTGCCCAGCGTGTCAAGGTGGGCCAGGAGCCATCAACTGGTATCGAGGCGTGCAACCCCTAATGACTCATGCCATGACTAAAACAACACGGAGAGCTAAGATGCATCGAGTATTTGCAGAACTTTTGGTTGAGGAGATGCGCAGGAGAGGAACTTTAATCAAATCAGTCAGTGATGCCTTTGGCAGATGGGAAGGGCTCAATGATAGAGTTGCAGATCATGAAATAATTTGGCCTCCTATGGTTATCATTATGAATACATTATATGAACAGGATGATAACGGCAAGGTACTTTACTGCTATCATCTTTACTTTTAGAAATAGCTTTTGTAAAATGTCTCTTGTACTAATATACTGTTGATTTCTTTGTACCGACTATTATTTCATCAGTGGACTGGAATGGGAAATCAAGAGCTTCTCAATTACTTCAGCTCATATGCTGCTGTAAAAGCGAGACACTCATACGGTCCACAAGGGCACCGGGGGATGAGTGTTTTGATCTTTGAGAGCTCAGCAGCAGGGTATTTAGAGGCTGCACGCCTGCATAAGCATTTTAAAGAGCAAGGGAGGGATAGGGATGCCTGGGATTGTTCACGGGTTCCATTCTGTCCTGGTGGCAAGCGCCAACTCTATGGCTATATTGCTATGAAAGGAGACTTGGATATATTTAACCAACACTCTCAAGGTCTAATCTTTCTCTCTCCCTCCCCTTTACCCCCCCCCACCCCCCCTAAAAAAGAAAAAAATATTGTGTCAATGTGGAGAGGAGTAAATCTCAAAACCAACTCTTAATCCAGCGCACGACAGTTTGTTCCCATTTGGGATAACACAGCATTGCCTTAAAACATGCTTTTATTTTACCAAGAATAGTAGGTAACCATGCATTTAAATTTTGCTTCCAGAATTAATAATTTATATCTTATGAATGATCGATGGTGGAAGGAGCACAATTTCCTCTCTCTAGTGGCAATGTAGTTTTCTTATGCGGTCATGTTTGACAATCTGTGTGATCAAGCAGGAAAGTCCAAGCTGAAATTTGAGACGAGATCATACCAAGAGATGGTTGAGAGTCAGATAAAGAAGATAAATGATGATAGTCAGCAGCTTACCCGACTTAAAAAGAAGGTTGCTCAAGAGCAGCAGAACTCACAAGTGCTTGTGGAGTCTCTAGGTCGACTGAGTGAGAAACTCCGTCAGGCAACAGAGGAAAATTCTATTGTGAGGCCGCAAACTAGATTGCAGCATGAGCAGAACAAAAAAGAGGTAGCATTTTTGGAATTTTGTGTTCCTCTACTTTTGTTGCCAATCAAGGTCAACAAGTTAGCAAATAAAGGATGCCCTAGGGCCATCTTTTCCATGATTCACTACTTGATAAATTGGTGATCATACTTGGTGGATGGTATAGCTATTATCACTTTGCTTCTACCTTGACTTGTAGGTAAGCTGAAGTTAAGGTAATTTTAAGAAGTCAGTGCGGGGCATGAACAGACTTCTTTTTTACCCTGTTAACTGAACAAAATCAAACAAAGCTTTACATTAAACTGTTGTGGCAAGATGCATGAATCCTCTTCGTCTTCTCCCAGACAAACTCTTCTTGTGGGACTTGAATCTGGATTCTAAAATTGCTGCAATTGCAGTGTGTAATAGCAGATATCTCTTCCTTGTAGCTTCTTGACATATTTGACATTGAATTCTTTTAACTTGTTATTGCAATGCATTGATCTCCAGTTGGGTGCCAAAGAACAACATTTTAAGGAGAAAATCAACATTATTTACCAAGCTATAGACTCTAAGGAAGATAATTTTGAGAAGCAGCAGAGGGCAGCAAGGGAGAGGATGAAGCAGTCAGATGCAAATCTGACAAATAATGAAGATGAGTACAGGTAATAGTGGAACATGTGAAGCTAAATTTATTCTTCAAGATGTTTTGTTTGAGAATTCATATATGCCCTACTCTATGCTGCAATGAATGCTTTTCTTTTTGTCTGACATGAAATTTTAATGCACACTAACTACCTTGAGAAAGTATTGAAAAATGACAATTTTTGTTTTCTGCTGACCTGCTACTAATCTGCTCATCAAATACAACATTTGTTACCTTTTAGAAGGAAAACAAGCCGCTTGCTTTTGTTAAGTACGTTCAAGAGAAGCTCTGGAGTCTCGTTTGATTGAAACTGAAAGTTGTTGATTTTATTTTACAGTCATAACCTGATAAGGATTTTTAACATTTTTTCGACATTCAGTGCTACTGAGATGGAGGAAAAGACGAGGTCCATAATAATCCAGGAGAAAAGGATGGAGGAATTCGATACAGAGAGAGAGAAGCTGATGAAAAGTCATCAAGACAGAAGGTTGGCAATCACACAAAGGTACTGGGAGAAGCTGATTGAGCTTGAGAAAGGATTCGAAAAAGAATTGACCCTGCTCATGGAAAAGTACACCCCAGATTGCCTTGATGAAGAGACCACTAACAGCCTTAAAGAATAAGGCAAAAGAGGAGCAAGAGAGAAAAAGGTAAATATACACTCCAGATTGCCTTGATGAACATAGTCTTGCTTCGAAGGTAAATATACCAGTTTTGTTACCTAAGATATTTCAATTTTGGACATAGAGAGAAAAAGGTGGAGAAATGAACACTGGGATGGTGCAACTTCAAGTTCTTTTACATTTCTGAGGATTCTTTTCTGTATCAGCTGTTTGTCAGTGACAAACTTGACTCAAATCTTTGTTCATATGTTGATATAATTTTGTGGCATATATTTTACATGATTGGATGTATACCTTTCAACACGTTAGCTCCCTCCATGCTAGTAAACCAGGCAACCTTCACAATATCACTGAAGTATAATAGTTACAATTTTCTGCTGGCCAAGGAAATTGAGCTTTTAATTTAAACTTGAAGTTTGCAAACATAGTAAAATGGGTCAAATATGATTTTTTAAGAGTAATTATATGAATAAAAACAAAACTAAATTTTAGGTTTAGAAGTTTGAATTTTTCGGTCAAAAAGAAATTCGTGGGTAATTGTTTTGCCTTTGGACGAGTGTTTATCATATTATACATAAAAATAAGCATTAACTTTTCAATTGGCATACTCAGATATACAAAGTTATAAGGACGACATTGCAAAAAATGAGTTTTTTGGGGTTAAATTCATGTGTTTTTCTTTTTCTGGAGAAAGGTAGTTTTGGGCTCAAGCCCAATTATTCCACTTTAATATTTTTTTTCAAGTTGTTAGGCCTAAACATTCTTATGAACCCAGCGAATTCTACGGCGCAAGTATAATGGAATGAAATTAATGTTGATTGTTATGTAGAATCAAATCAAAGAAATAGTAAACAATGTTTGGAAATTGATCAGCACAAGAAAAAGGTTGAAATTGATTGACCTTTCATGCTTTACTTTTTTATTTCAGGAATATCTTTCTTTTTAATAAAAGCATGAAGAAAATCAACCAATTTTAATCCTTTTTTTTGGTAAAAAAATCCTAGAAATTATAATACTACTTGCCAAATTAATAAATATACTCAATAAATAATTTAATTTTCAAAATCTTCCAAAAAAATCTTTCTAATCACTAGGAGAGTAAAGAGAAAATAAATGGTTATTTACTTATATGAATAAATTGGCAATTTAAGTTTTAATTAATTTATATTCAAAAATATATGTAACCAAATTTATGAACTTAAGATTTAATTCAATTAATTTATATAGTTACGGTGGGTGGCTTCCTTCAAATTTTGAAACTTAAATTTCAACAACTAACTTATTTTTTATTTTAGATTGCACCTTCTTTTATATAAAAAATAATTATTCTAAAAGATCAAAGTAAATTTGGCCAATCGCATAAATCACTATAAATAATAAATTAATGTGAGTTACCGAATAATTATAAACTCGAAAATTTATTTTGCACTCCTAATTTTTAGCTATAAAAATATGTGTAAAATTGGGTAGCGTAGATTTTTGTTCAATTACTTCAAAATCAAGTTCTTGATTCCATTTTCTAATTGCACATTATGATTTAATTTCGGTCATAATCTTATTAAAAAAAATTAGGTACTGAATGCGTCACATTAATTATAAAAATTCAACATTTAATAATAACAAAAAAATAGTGATTATTCCCTCATCTTTTGGAAATTAAGATTGAACAATAGATTTCTTCCCTCTTTTCTTTTCTTTTCCATGAGGCTATATATGTTCATAATTTAGTAAATGTTTAATCGGAATAATTTGGTGGAAAATCATTGGTTTATAGGAAAATTAATCTTGTGCAGGAAAATAATGAGAAAGGGAACTATAAAAAGTTCAAAACTAGTCCTAGCAGCAATGCTACTTTTCATGGTGCTTCAATTTCAGGCCATTCATGCAAGAGTTCATCATTCAAAGCCAACCAAATATACAGTTGGAGACGAAGAAGGCTGGGACTTGGTCATTGACATGGAAAGCTGGACTCGAGGGAAACCATTCCATGCCCGTGATCTTCTCGGTATAACAATATGCATTGTTATTAGTTAATTTTGCATCTATATAATTACGTGTTTTAAAGATTATTTGTATGATTGTTGGTGTAGTTTTCAAATATGATGCTCAGAGGTTCGATGTGGCGGTCGTAAATCAAGAAGGGCACGATTCATGTACCGTTAACGATGGAGCCAAAGTGTTTAATTCAGGGAATACTAAAATCAGTCTTGTGTTCGGAGCTAATTATTTCATCGATAGTGCTCCTGATGTATGTGCCGCTGGAATGAAGATGGCCATCAACGCCACCGCACCACCCCCATCATTTTAGTTATTTCAAAGCATTTTTGTTTCGTTTGCAGCCATTTAATAAAAGCATTTAGTTATGTTTTATTTGCGAGTAAGCAAATGCTTGAGAGCCTTGCTCAATTGGAATGAAACTCAATAATTAAAGTATAATAAATACTAGTTTGAGACTTTGAATCAGATAGAGTATTAAGATGTTAGAATTCTTTGATTTGAAACTCAAATTATGGGACTGGTTTTTTTGTTTTCTTGGGATTGGTAGAGAAAAGGTAAGTATGAAGATGATTAAAGGGGTTGATGAGAGTGCCACTTTTGGCCTAAAGGAAACACTAAGCCAACAACTTGAGCTTTCAATGTCGACCTTATTCCTCAAACATTCTTTACTTTCTTGTGTTTTTCCCTTTGCTTTCTGCTTCTCCTTATTCCAACCCAATCATAAGTAATGAATTCGGTGTTGTCTAGTAATCATATGTTCTGCCATGTATCAGATGGATTCTAATTTGTAGAACTGTAGAAGTATAATTTCAAAAATATAAAAAATAATGGGTATTATTATGTAGAAAAGACAAGAATTGCAGACTTTATACTGCTGTAATATAGGGATAGGGATGCTTGGGATTGTTCACGGGTTCCATTCTGTCCTGGTGGCAAGTGCCAACTCTATGGCTATATTGCTATAAAAGGAGACTTGGATATATTTAACCAACACTCTCAAGGTCTAATCTCTCTCTCTCTCTCCTCTTTACCCCCCCCCCCCCCCCCCAAAAGAAAAAAATATTGTGTCAATTTGGAGAGGAGTAAATCTCAAAACCAACTCTTAATCCAGCGCATGACAGTTTGTTCCCATTGGGATAACACAGCATTGCCTTAAAACATGCTATTATTTTACCAAGAATAGTAGGTAACCATGCATTTAAATTTTGCTTCCAGAATTAATAATTTATATCTTATGAATGATTGATGGTGGCAGAAACACAATTTCCTCTCTCTATTGGCAATGTAGTTTTCTTATGCGGTCATGTTTGACAATCTGTGTGATCAAGCAGGAAAGTCCAAGCTGAAATTTGAGACGAGATCATACCAAGAGATGGTTGAGAGTTAGATAAACAAGATAAATGATGATAGTCAGCAGCTTACCCGACTTAAAAAGAAGGTTGCTCAAGAGCAGCAGCACTCACAAGTGCTTGTGGAGTCTCTGGGTCGACTCAGTGAGAAGCTCCGTCAGACAACAGAGGAAAATTTTATTGTGAGGCAGCAAACTAGATTGCCGCATGAGCAGAACAAAAATGAGGTAGCATTTTTGGAATTTTGTGTTCCTCTACTTTATTGCCAATCATGGTCAACAAGTTAGAAAATAAAGGATGCCCTAGGACCATCTTTTCCATGTTTCACTACTTGGTAAATTGGTGATCATACCTGGTGGATGGATGGTATTGCCATTATCACTTTGCTCCTATCATGACTTATAGAGAAGATGAAATTAGGGTAATTTTAAGAAGTCATGCGGGCATGAACAGGCTTCTTTCTTATTCTGCTAACTGAACAAGATCAAACAAAGCTTTACGTGAAACTGTTGTGTCAAGATGCATGAATCCTCTTCCTCTTCTCCCAGAAGAACTCTTCATGTGGGACTTGAACTTGGCTTCTAAAATTGCTGCAATTGCAGTGTACTATAGCAGATATCTCTTCCTTGCAGCTTCTTGATATATTTGACATTGAATTCTTTTAACTTGTCATTGCAAAGCATTGATCTCATGTTGGGTGCTAAAGAACAATATTTTAAGGAGAAAATCAACATTATTTACCAAGCCATAGACTCTAAGGAAGATAATTCTGAGAAGCTGCAGAGGACAGCAAGGGAGAGGGTTAAGCAGTCAAATGCAAATCTGACAAATAATGAAGATGATTACAGGTAACAGTGGAACATGTGAAGCTAAATTTATTCTTCAAGATGTTTTGTTTTAGAATTCATATGTGCCCTACTCTATGCTGCAATGAATGTTTTTCATTTTGTTTAAGATGAAATTGTGACAAATGACAATTTCTGCTCATCAAATCCAATATTTGTTACCATTTAGAAGGAAAACAAGCCGCTTGCTTTTGTTAAGAACATTCAAGAGAAGCTCTGGAGTCTCGTTTGGTTGAAACTGAAACTTGTTGATTTTATTCTACAGTCATAACCTGATAAGGATTTTTAACCAACATTCAGTGCTACTGAGTTGGAGGAAAAGACGAGGTCCATAGTAATCCAGGAGAAAAGGATGGATGAATTCGATACAGAGAGGGAGAAGCTGATGAAAAGTCATCAACACAGAAGGTTGGCAATCACACAAAGGTACTGGGAGAAGCTGATTGAGCTTGAGAAAGGATTCGAAATAGAATTGAACCTGCTCATGGAAAAGTACACCCCAGACTTCCTTGATGAAGAGACCACTAGCAGCCTTAAAGAATAAGGCAAAAGAGGAGCAAGAGAGAAAAAGGTAATTATACCCCCCAGATTGCCTTGATGAACATAGTCTTGCTTCAAAGGTAAATATATACCAGTTTTGTTGCCTAAGATACGTCAGTTTTGCACATAGAGTGGAGAAATGAACACTGGGATGGTGAAACTTCAAGTTCTTTTACATTTCTGAGGATTCTTTTCTGTATCAGCTGTTTGTCAGTAACAAACTTGACTCAAATCTTTGTTCATATGTTGATATAATTTTGTGGCATATGTTTTACATGACTGGATGTCTACCCTTCCACACATTAGCTCCCTCCATGCAAGTAAACCAGGCAACCTTCACAATTTCACTGAAGTATAGTTACAAATTTCTGCTGACTAAGGAAATTGAGCTTTTAATGTAAACCCGAAGTTCATGAACATAGTAAAAGGGGTTAAATATGATTTTTTAAGAGTAATTATATGCATGAAAACGAAACTAAATTTGAAGTTTAAAAGTTTAAAATTTTCAGCCAAAACAAAATTCGTGGATAATTATTTTGCACTTGAACGAGTTTTTATCATGTTGCACGTAAAATTAAGCACTAACTTTTCAATTTGCATACTGAGGTATACAAATTTATAAGGACGACATTGCAAAAAGTTATTATTTTTTTGGTTAAATTCACGTGTTTTTCTTTTCCTGGATAAAGGTATTTAGTTTTGGGCTCAAGCCCAACTATTCTTCTTCAATATGTTTATCATAGTTGTTAGGCCTAAACATTCTTTTGAACCCAGCGAATTCTATGGCGCAAGCATAATGGCATGAAGTCAATGTTGATTGTTACGTAGAATCAAAACAAAGAAATAATAAACAATGTTTGGAAATTGATCATCACAAAAAAAAGGTTGAAATTGATTGACTTTTCATGCTTTACTTTTTTATTTCAGGAATTTTTTTTTTTAATAAAAGCATGAAGAAAATCAACCAATTTTAATCCTTTTTTTTTTTTGGTAAGAAAATGCCTAGAAATTATAATACTAGTTGCCAAATTAATAAATATACTCAATAAATAATTCAATTTTCAAAATCTTCCAAAAAATCTTTCTAATTACTAGGAGAGTGGGGAGAAAATAAATGACTAATTACTTATCTGAATAAATTGGTGATTTAAGTTTTAATTAATTTATATTAAAAAATATATGTAGCTAAATTTATTTTGAGCTTAAAATTTAATTCAATTAATTTATATCGTTATAATGACATCCTTCAAATTTTAAAATTTAAATCTCAACAATTAACTTATTTTTTAATTTAGATTACGCCTTCTTTTATACAAATAATAATTATTCTAAAAGATCAAAGTAAAATTGACCAACCACATAGATTGCTATAAACAATAAATTAATGTGAGTTACTGAACAATTATAAACTCGTAAATTAATTTTGCACTCCTAATTTTCAGCTACAAAAATATGTGTAAAATTGGGTAGCGTAGATTTTTGTACAGTTACTTCAAAATCAAATTCTTGGTTCCATTTTTTAATTGCACATTATGGTTTAATTTCGGTCATGATCTTATAAAAAAAAAAATTAGGTCATGAATGCATCACATTAATTGTAAAGATTCAACATTTAATAATAACCAAAAAAAAGTGATTATTCCCTCTTCTTTTGGAAATTAAGATCGAACGCTAGATTTCTTTCCTCTTTTCTTTTCTTTTCCATGAGGCTATATATATTCATAATTTAGTAAATGTTTAATCGGAATAATTTGGTGGAAAATCATTGGTTTATAGGAAAATTAATCTTGTGCAGGAAAATGATGAGAAAGGGAATTATAAAAAGTTCAAAACTAGTCCTTGCAGCGATGCTACTTTTCATGGTGCTTCAATTTCAGGCCATTCATGCAAGAGTTCGTCATTCACAGCCAACCACATATATAGTTGGAGATGAAGAAGGCTGGGACATGATCTATGACATGGAAAGCTGGACTCAAGGGAAACCCTTCCATGCCGGTGATCTTCTCGGTATAACAATATGCATTGTTATTAGTTAACTTTGCATGTATATAATTACGTGTTTTAAAGATTATTTGTATGATTGTTCGTGTAGTTTTCAAATATGATGATCAGAGGTTCAATGTGGCGGTCGTAAATCAAGAAGGGCACGACTCATGTACCCTTAACGATGGAGCCAAAGTGTTTGATTCAGGGAATACTAATATCAGTCTTGTGTTCGGAGCTAATTATTTCATCGATAGTGCTCCTGAAATATGTGCCGCTGGAATGAAGATGGCCATCAACGCCACCGCACCACCCCCATCATTTTAGTTATTTCAAAGCATTTTTGTTTCTTTTGCAGCCATTTAATAAAAGCATTTAGTTATGTTTTATTTGCGAGTAAGCAAATGCTTGAGAGCCTTACTCAATTGGCATGAAACTCAATAATTAAAGTATAATAAATAGTCGTTTGAGACTTTGAATCAGATAGAGTATTAAGATGTTAGAATTCTTTGATTTGAAACTCAAATTATGAGACTGGTTTTTTTTGTTTTCTTGGGATTGGGAGAGAAAAGGGTAAGCATGAAGATGATTAAAGGTGTTGATGAGAGTGCCACTTTTGGCCTAAAGCTAAACACAAAGCCAACAACTTGAGCTTTCAATGTCGACCTTATTCCTCAAACATTCTTTACTTTCTTGTGTTTTTCCCCTTGCTTTCTGCTTCTCCTTATTCCAACCCAATCATAAGTAATGATGTTGTCTGGTAATCATAAGTTCTGCCATGTATCAGATGCATTCTAATTTGTAGAACTGTAGAAGTATAATTTCAAAAAATATAAAAAATAATGGGTATTATTATGTAGAAAAGACAAGAATTGCGGACTTTATACTGCTGTAACATATATATATATATATTTGAAATGTCAGTTGTGATGATGCAATCTCCACTAACAAAACACTACTTTGAGCAAAAATGCAAGTCTAGGATTGATACCATTTCCAAGCATATTGCTTCTCGGAATCCAAAGACCAAAGTCTAAGCAAAAACAAAAAGACAAACTAAGAGCCATTGACGGTGGAGCATGTGTTCACTACAATCATGAAAGGTACTTTAAACATGTGAAAGTTACCATCTCTATCATCATCACATTCGATGAAAAGGTTGAGGAAAAGTCGAACTTTTCATGTAAATATGGCTGCTTTTTAATACTATTGCGGATGGTTGACTTGTAATCAGCAAAAGGGCAGCTAAACCCATTAGACCAAATGGACAAAATTAAGTTACATATTGTCAAAAACTTAGAACTTCTCACGGATCAGAAAACTCTAACCTCCAATCCTTACCAAAACTTGACAGGAAAAAACATTCCTGATCTAAAGGAATGGTGGTAATCAATCTTCATAAGGATATTATGTTAGTTGTCTACCTGAAAGGATGCTGGCCAGGGCCGATGACAAGCCAAAGCAAGTGATGAGCATGGCCTGCAAACTGGATCCAATAATACATTGAAGAAGAAGAAAAAAGTTTAACTCAATTATATGTATATATGCGAGACAAGATAGATATTACCGTGTAGGAATTGGCATTTTCTAACGTACTCAACGCTATAGCTCTTCCTGAAACGCTTAAGTACTTATGTCTGTCAAGGTCGAAGCAGCAAGAAAATTAACCCAATGGATCAGAACTGAAAAAGAATCCTTGCCTCGGAAACATCTAATAGTAAAAGTGTTTCATTAATTTCTCTTAGGGTTTCTCAGAGAGAAATTTACAGAGCCTGTTTGACATGCTGGCCGCCTCCACTTCAATGGACAATCATTTGAGCTGGGTAGTCGTGTGAAGAAGGATTGATGGAGGTGGACAGAATGCCAAATTGGCTCTGCAACAAGGCCTCTGAGAACCCTCCAGAGCTAAGATAAGACTGAAAAGGAGAAAAAGAAAGAGAGGGTTTAGTTTAGTAGCTGGAACTTGAAAGTAAAAGATGGAGGATTGGGAAATCGTTGGTCATTGGCCTTTGAAATAAGAACGGGGTTTATGTGGAAAGAGGGTGCATGAGCGTGCATGGTGTTGTACGACCTGATGGATACGGTGGGCGTCAATATTCAACTGAGAGATAATTGTATGCACCAAAGACTAAATGTTGTCTGCTTTCATGGTTGTACCTTGGAAAGAAAAATGCCCTTGGCTTTGACAATGAAAACCCAACGGTCCTAAAAGTGCAACCTTAACAAAGCAAGTTATGAAATATAAATATATTCTTTTTTTGCAAATTTTTACATTTGATTGCAAGTTTCTTTGACTATGGCCTATGGGGTTTCATGGGTCTTTTAAATACTTTTTGACTCGATGCAAAAGGAGGATACAAAATGGGCTGTTTTTGTCTTCCACTCAGCCTGTAATCACTTTGTCAACTACCTTATGAGTTCAAACTTTCAAATCTATGATTAGGATTTAAAATTATTCCTGATTGTGTATTAAATGATTAGTGTTTTCCTCGACATATTAATGTTCCTTTCCAAGACTACTATTTGGAAGAAACCATGAAAGCAAGATTATTACTTGTATCATATTCTTATTAAAGGCCTGGACCATGTGGGAGGAACATATTTTCTACCTTCCTGAGTACGATTGGTACTGTAGCGCATGCTATTATACAAAGAAATCCGTGAATTATTTGCTTGAAAGAAAGATTTGAATAGGGGAAAATGGGGCTTTTTAACCAAGAATATGCAAAAAATAACAAGCCGATGATATCTTACAGTCCTTTGACAAATTCATACCATAAAAATTAGTATAATATCGGCTACTATTACTATATTTTAGCCCAGCCTTATCGATCCAAATGAAATTCAATTGTCCTACTTGCCAGGGGATGTGAAAAAAGAAACCTGGAGGGGCGTGAGTGGCCCTAAAATCCTATCCATACAAAAGATATTTACTTTGCAGAACCATTCTCAACAAGGGGACTTTCATCTGCAACAATGTTGTCAACAGGGTTATGCTCCCCCCACACAGCTGCATCTAGATATCCAAGCTCAAAGAGCCTATCAAGAATATCATCATCTGCTGGCTCCAGTGCCCAGTTGAAAAGCTGTGAGTAGTTGGCAACAAGAATTCAGTGGCTTATACTCGAGGAAAATAATTAACACTTGCAGCCTAGGGCATTACCTCTCTATTGGTAGCCCTATTCTCAGGATTGCAGTCTGGACTAATCCCAATTCCTTGCAATCCCAATCGGCTGGCTGGAAAAGCACAAACACGGACCTGAAAAACAACATGAGCCATCATATCACTATCACGAGTAAGCTTGTGTAATCATTATAGCAGACATTACAATCTCAATTTCCTGTGCCTTGTAAACTGATTTTCAAGCCATGTACAGTAGCTATAAAGATTCAACTGCAGCCCTTAATTATAAAAATAAGTTAAAAATATCTTTGTGTAATTTTCCAAGCTATATAATTGTTAACTTGAATAGTTACTAGCATCCACCCAGTGTCATCTCACTGCGATGCTTATTGCTTGAAATTAGATAAGCAAGCGTAATAACACTCTATATATAAAGGTCGACCAATCTTGTTCCTGTAAAACTTAACCAGTGATAAAAACTATAGTGGATTATGCATACAAGGCTATTTTCAAGTATTAACAATAATCATATAGAATGTGATACATGGATCTTAAAAAAGATTTGACTGAATCCTAGCTTTGTATCCTATAGCTACAAAGATTTCAGTAACTTTTGAAAATACAAATATTATTGTTGTAGTGGTAGTCAGAACATCAAAATGCCACTTAAAACCCAAGCAATTCAACTCAAAACAATTTATGATTAATGATCCTTGTTTCAGACCAATATATGATTGCAAAATTTATTAAATAGACTAAGCAAATAGCTTCTCTGAATTTTCAAAGCCAGATTCAATTTTAAATGATCTCAAGAAAATACCGTTTTAGAAGCAGATGTTGGGGGCATAAATAATGTCAAACCCCCATCAATGCATAGACGATTCCGAAAAATTTTTGCTGGGCGAGGAGCAAGATACCTGCAAAAGACAAATTGTATCAGGTTCAGGTAACTTCATAGCAAGAGTTTCAATGTAGAACTGTGCATTAACCAATTACCCCGGAATGAAGGAAGAGGTAATGACTGCATTGATGAGATCTTCTTTGGAGTCAAACCGATCCACCAGTAAACCCCTAGGCCTCCAAAGAATCTGAGTTACAGCAACTGTCATAATAGTTGTGATTAGAAGAAATGTTAATTGTTCAAAGTGGTGGAGATTAGCAAGTCAAAATCAGTCTTTCGTATTATGCAGATAGCTTTATAAAGAAAGGTCATACACTAAAAAGAGAAACACATGTCATTCAACTTTATCTTGGAACAGAGCAAGGTTGGTGAATCTAGTGTAAAGACAATTGAAGCTATTGCAACACCCCTCCTTAACAGTGTTCACAATGCATTTGTAGTCACTTTGTTATGTTAAACGCAACCTAGTCCTCAGCAAACATCTCTAAAATTATGATTTGACCAATGCTTTGCATGTTACCATCCCAATGCAGCCTATCTACTTTTTCCTTACTACCAACTTGATCCAAACTGCTATCTCATTGCTATCATGATCTAAATGTGTGATTCAAATATTCTGATTGTAGGATGACAATATTATTTTGTTATATATTCATATATCTTCAAAAAATATTTAATTATTTGCTTTTTCTATGTACTCCCTATGTAAAAGAATTTACATCCAGCAACTAATTTTGTTTTTAAAGTATCATACTCACCACGAACCCTCCCATTGGACCTAGTATGAATATCATGAGGCAGAAACTTGTCAAGAACATCTCGGAGAACAGCCTGTTGGTTTTAAAAAAGGATAAGTTAACATAAAACTTAAACTTGATCAGAAGCTGATACATAAACAAGAAGACAAATTCCTGTTGATACAAAAATTTGGGTTCTTAAATGAGATATTAAGCAATGGCCAAAAAAATGAGATATTAAGCCACTAAAATACCAAAGCTGATGGAATCAAGGTTCTCTAAAAGCATTGATGATTGAATTTAATTATTAATCACTGCATCCATTTGAGTTGAGCAATAAGACTGAGAATATACATGCTGATCAGCAACTAGTGACCATCAATCATACACATAAAACTATAAAAAAACTACATTTTAAAAAGCAGAGCAATAAGTGCATTAAGCCACATAAACAATCATTGTGCCAGGCCTAGGCATACCCCAAGACGAAATGCAGTCCCTTTAAGCCGACAATTATCAGCCAGGATCTTTGTAGCTTTTAGGGCTTCATCCATGCCAGCTCCAGAAGCAATCACTGCACATACTATGGCACCAGCAGATGAACCAGCCAGTGGTGTGGTTTCCTGCGTCCAAGGGGAAAAGGAAATGTAAGGTACAGCCAGCGTGGTTCATGATGAAATATCATTGCACAGAATCATATAAAGAGTTTGCCACTGTTATCAAGAACTCATAGAGTACTTGCCTAAAACCCATACTTCCAAAGCACTTTCTAAAGTGAAAGATATACTTAATAGGAACAGTTATCTGAATCTTTTACTCTCAAGCTGTATCAATGACATGATACCACTCCCAAGCAATAAAAACACCAAGAAAAAACCTTGATTATCTCCATAACCTCTGCTGAAAACTAGAAGGCTAAATTTCGTGTCAAATGCAATTTTAAGCTGTCATTCCAAATTGCTTGTATCTTTTCATCTTAATTTCCTTTTTGGAAATCTATTGTACAATGAAAAAGGATGTTAATGATCAATGGAGTCGAGTAAGCCAGATAAAGTTCAATATCTAAATTGGACTATGTAAAGTAGTTGACTTAAGAAAAGAAGTAATGATGATAGAATAGCGATTAAATTAGATTTTGTTTTATATTTGTACTTCCCAGAAAATATTAGTATCCTATTCTAAAATAAGCACTACCTGGGTCCGAAGCCAACAGAATTCACCTGTTAACTTTATATTCTTGCTTATAGCACAACGTTAACCTCAAGGAAGCCAAGATTCATTAATCCAAGTTTCTCTCAAAAGAAAGAAATTCGTATGTGAATTTCCCTACCAATGAACATTGCATTAAAAAAATAACAATGTAAGGAAAAAAAAACCTCTTCAACATGCGATATTAACAGAACTCAAACTCAACCAATGAACAATCAAACAAGCAATTTTTGTAAAATGGGAATAAAGAGAAGATGACACCTTTATGTAACCCTTTTCAATGAGAAACTGGGCAGCCCCAAGATGATAAGGAAACAAAAGGCCAGCAGCAGAAAAGCTAAACCCAGGGCTTGTAACCACTCTTCTTTCTTTCTCAGCTTCAATATCCTTAAATCTTTGTTCCCATATCACATCTGGCTCTATCTCATCTTCCATCACTAACCCAATTCTCTCATCATTGTTTTCTCTATTTCCAAGCTCGCTCTCATTAATTATTTTTCTGGGTGTGTCATGGATTGTTGAGCCTGGTTTTTCGTAATTAGAATTGCTTTTTATTAATCTGGAAGCAATTCCCAAGAAAAGCTCCCCTGTTGCCACGGCAAAAGACTTCTTTTCTGAAGAAAGTTTTTCACTTTTTTCTTGTGAAAGAGGAGTTGTGAGGCTATTGTTGTTTTTAGAGGAGTTTGTAAAGAAAGCAAAAGCATGGGGGCGTGGAGAAAGGGTGCACCCACGGTTGAGACGAGAGTTAGAAGTTGCAGGAGAAGAATAAGGGAAGGTGTGGGAAAAGAAAGGAGAAGAAATGGAACGAGCCATTACAGGAGACGAAGAAGCGAAAGAACTAATGGCTCTGTTTGGTTGCTTGTTGAATCTCAATTTTAAAGCCTTTTTTATATTATTTTTGAGGTTTATTACATTTGTTTGATTTGGGTTTTGGTTTTTTTGTTGGCTTGTGGTGTGGAAATAAAACATGGTCTTAAGACGGCTTTTGCCGTATGCCAAAAAGAGACATGGTCGTTTTGTTTCTGCATTTTTTGATATGGCATCCGACCAAATGACAAAGATGTCTATGATGTTTACAAGGATTGAATTTAAAAAAAAAATTTTCCTTCAACTTTGAGAAAAAAATTTGATTAATTTCAAGGCTAATTCTAGAGCAACAGGGACCAATTTAAGAATTTATATGCAGTGTTTTTAGGACATTTATTCGTCGATTAGATTAATTTGGAATTAAATTATTTTATTTTATTTTTATTAATTGAATTAAATTTATTAATTTTAAAATTTAATTGATCGAATTTAATTTGATTGATTTAGTTAATTTTTTTAATTAATTGAATAATAAATATATTTAAATTAAATTATATTTTAAATAAATTAAATAAAATTATTTAATAAAATATTCAAAATTTTAAAGTATTATGTTAAAAGTTTTAATAATAAAATAAAATGTTCAGTTTTATATATTTTTCCAATTTATATTTAAATTATATTATATTTTTATTAAAATTTTAATTAATTTTTTAAAAATTATTTTTATTAACTGATCAAAATTAATTTAATAATTAATTGATTAATTAAATTAAATTAATTCAATCAATTAATTCATTTAAAATTAAATTATGAACATTCTTATTATAAGAATTTTTCTTCATCCATTGACTACTTACCAATTATTATATTCTCATTAATGCTTGGGGCTTTTAACGTCATTGCCGGCTTTGGTGAAAAAATCAGCAAAGAAGAAACTCTAGACCTCCATTTTCTACTTAAAAAAGTGTTGTTAGTGTTGGGGTTCATCCTTAAAAAAATCTTAAACATGGTTTGTTGCTAACAACAGGCTCATTCCAAAGAAACAAAGAAGGGAAATGTAATTGAGCCCAAAAATCAAACTCAAACTCAAAGCAACAAACAGCCGAAGAGAAGCCCATGAAGCACGGTGTTACCATTCACTAATGCACGGGTACACGAAAATGTTGAGTTTCTATACTCTGAAGCTTCGGTGAACAGCCATGGCCTTGTTTCCAAACTTCTATACAATTTTTGCCTCTCCTCAATTCTCTTCAAACTCTGCATCTCCTCCCAAGCTTCCCGCTTCTCACTTCACTGACCAGCTTTCAGTTTCCACTTGTCAACCAAACCTGTCAAAAGCAACAGCTACTACTTGTCAAGAACCTCAACTTCTGATGAAAAATTGAGGGTCAATGTTTCTTTCTGCCCTGCTTTCTTGAACCATGCTAATGTACTCAAGGAAAAGCTTCTTGAGGCCATTTAACCTATTGAATGGAGAGCTGGTGCCTCCCCTGAGGATCAGCAGAGGGTTGATCAGGTTGATTTTTTTACTTTTCTTATTTCCATTTATTTTGTTCTTGAATTGTAAGCCTTATCTCCATATTTCTAACAGTTAGCTCATGTTCTAAATAGTTAGCACGCGAACTTGAAGCAGTTGGTTCGATAAGGGAGGCTCTGAAATCTAATTTACTAAACGGAAAATAGGAGCTTGTTTAGACCACTTCCAAATCTATTTTGCAAACTCAGGTTGGTAAAATTTACAATGTACTTCTAACCAAATTCCATAATATCATATGTTAAACTGACTCTGCTCTCTTTTTCCATTGCATGTACAAGTTGAATTAATGTTTTGACAGAGACCCAAATTCCTAAGATCAACTACAAACTACCATGCAATCAATCTTGACACGCTTAGGCCCCAAAATTGGAATCTTGTGGCCTTTCTTAACCTAGGTAAAGTTCAACATTGTTCCAGTTGCAACATTGGGTTAAACTACCAAGCAATAAATTGTGTATACGGGTTACGGAATAATTCAATTTTTTTTCCAAGTTTTCACTTTATGAATGTCTAAATGACCTATTAAGAACCTTCTTTAACATGTAGGAAACATTAGCAATGAAACAATTGGTAATTAATCAGCTGTCTGCAATTTTAGTGCCAGTATTTCTTTTTAAGTTTCCTTCCTAGACAAAGCCATATAAAATACATTGAAGACCAAACAAACAAGTATGCAGAAAGGGCATCTTCTTGCCTCAAATGAATTAATCCTTTCTTCATTGTGAATGAATAAGGACTTCAGGTTTTGAAGGTACTTCAGGTTTATACTGTGATGAGTTATCTGCACGTTTCTTTAAAGCCCATTGTATACACTTGTATTCTTTATATTTTTCTTGATGTGCAAAAACCTATTAATGCACCTGGAAGAGCTAGTGGTGAATTAGAGATTACATATTTGGAGATTAATTAATTGTAACTTCTTTCCTTTTTAAAAAAAATGAAATTTGATTGGGGTTGAATCAAGAGCCCTGAGCCAACATAAACTTCAATTTAAAGGCGATGAGGATGATAAATCCATCTAATTAAAGCATAACTTTCAGAAATTTGGGGCTGATTTTTATTTTGCATGAAATCTTAAATATTTCTCAATAAACTCACTGAACTCCATAAAACATGGCATGCGCTGAAATTGGAAATTTCTTTAAAAGAGGTATTTTTTGGATATTTCAAAAGGAGGTGGTAAAGGGAGCTTGTTCATCTTGAAAACGGTTGATTCATCTTCTGCTTCTCCGTCTAATTGAACGGCAGCAATTGGCATTGCTCAGCCATTAAGCTTTACAGGGATGGACTGGCTCCAACAAGCTTTAGCCGACACATTTTCTTGTAATATATGATTTTTTATATATATATATTTGTATATAAAAAGCTTTTTCCTTTATGAAATAGTTCCTCAAAGCAGCAGGCAAATTTTTTGCTGTGACTTGTGACACATTTGCTAATTTTGTTTTTTCAAAGAAGTAATTGTGTTTTCATCAGAAACAAGACAATAAGTCAGAAGTCAGAACCCGACCGCTCTTCATTAAAAAGAACAGAACAAAGACAGATTTAAGACTAGTCCGTGAACCAAAGATGATATATATAAAAAGGGCAAAAAACACAGTTGCTAAATGCTAATATAAATTGTGGTGGTGAGTCGAAGGCAAAATTTTGGGTGTTGGGTTGGGTTTGGTCTCGTCAGCTAGCACGTTGCACTATTTTCTTTTGTCCTCGAATTGCCTATGCAGAAAGTGGAAAGCCATTGCATCACGCCTCTCTCTCTCTCTCTCTCTGTCTCTCTCTCGCTCTTTCTTCTGCTTCTTCTCTTAGTAACTCCCTATTTCCTTTGATTTCCGGCGTTTTGGTTAAAAATCTGTCTCAAAGCTTGAATCTTGAACAAGAATCTTTGAAACCCAAAACCCCAAAAAAACTACTTGTCTTTTCAACTCAACCGCTTTAAATGTTTTAAAGTCTTCCCCAAAGAAACACCCTTTGACGTTATTTTTAATTCCATAACTACTTGCTTGATTAAGTCTACGTATGGATTCAATTCTTGAAACTTGAAATTCCACCAAAAGAGAAAATCAAGCAAAAAAATGATTACAAAATTGCCGGTTACCCAGTTAAAAGCATCCAATTTTGGGTTGAATTACTTGATTTCTGGCAACAAAGACGTTTCCAAGTTTGGGTATTTCTCAAGAAACTCTGCTTCACACCACATGTTAAGGTTGAAGCTTGTGGGAGCTCAGGGAGATAGATGGAAGCTCAATGACTTTGATGCCAGTATGTTTACATTCATTTATTCATCTTTTTGGTTGAAGATTATATTCATCAACATTACTCTTCTGTTTCTTCAACATTTTTGTATTGAGATACGTTGACAGGCAAATATTTCGGTTCTATGATTCATAAAGGTCTAAAATTGTTTGGTTTTATCTAACTTTTTTTTTCCTAATAGCATTAGTTGGCAGTTGACAGTTAATAGGATGATTCTCAAACCATTGAATTGAAATATAGATTTTTTTTTTTTAAGATAGTGATTTTAACAAGTATGATTATCAAAATTTGCTTCTGATACTGTTACGTGGATTTTTTTTTTGTTGATTTGACAGATGCTATGCAAGAAAGAATTAATTCATGGCTGTCAAAGACCCAGCATTTTTTGACCGAGGTAGCTTTGCCACTAGTAAAAACTGGTCAGAGTGGAAATCCTGATCCTGGAAATGAGATTGATCCTCAAGACATGGAGGATATTTTTTTGGCAGAACAGACTATTCCTAGTAGCATGCCTAATGGACATCTTTCATTACCTGCTATTGTGTCTATTGAGCAGTTTAGCAGGTGAAATTATCTTTTACATGTTTCAATATCAATCCACATTTCTGCATAGAAAAGGGAACTAGGGAAGTGGTTTCCAAAAAAAACCTTGTGGCTGTGGAATTGTGAACGCGGTTAGTCTGTGAGGATTTAGTTGAGGCTATTGCTGTAACCATTACTTGGTAAACTAGGTATTGTGCCCAGAAAAGTTATAAAAACGAAAAACTTTTTGCCTATTGAACATTTCAAAAGGAAAAAAAAAAAAAAAAAAACATTTTTCATGCTTTCTATCAATTCAGACAGAGTTGCTACAATATACATGTTCCAAGAATGTTTTCTTTAATTAGCTTCAGACAATGTTAAATTCCATAAACAAGGTTTTATGACTTTTTTTGGGTTTGAATTATTCTACTTTTCTTTGTGAAAGCAGACAACAAATCTACATCAAGAGTTTTTCTTTTCATTTCTTTCATGAATATTAGTGATTCATCTAAAGTTAGCAGTTTCCAGATTGGATTGTGATTTGACCCTTGGAAGTTAAATTTGCAGGATGAATGGATTGACTGGACAAAAAATGCAGAAGATATTTAAAGCTCTTGTTCCTAAAAATGTGTATGATGATGCTCGTAATTTGGTGGAGTATTGCTGCTTTAGGTTCTTGTCAAAGGATTCCTCTGATCTGCATCCTTGCCTCAAGGTCTGTAAAACTATTATTATATGACGAATTTATGTTCTTTTTTATTATTACGATTTTCATTTTCTTCATAAGATTGTGGACTATGGACCAGCTTAATGAAGGATCTAAGTACATATGAGCTTATGGCCTTTTTCTGTAATTTGTCACATATTTCCTTCTGTTTCTTACTGGTTGCATGCATGTCATCAATGTCTGACTTTTGCCACATTCCCTCCCAGTTATACACCTAATAAGAAAAAACAAAATTGAAAATTATTTTGATAATTTGTAATTTTCAAATTTTTTAAATAATGTATGATTGGCATTTCTATTACCCTACCACCAATTTCATGAGTCCCCTTGCTACTAGCTTCCCCCTCATTTCAATGTATGATTAAACCTCTCTCTCTCTCTCTCTCAGTGAAGATTGATAAATCTTGGGAGTCATGAAGTTCCTGATTAGCTGTTCTTTGGAACAAATTTTGCTATGTTTACAGGAACCTGCATTCCAGAGACTAATATTCATCACAATGCTTGCTTGGGAGAATCCTTACTGTGATAAAAATGATTTGCATGCTCATGCATCGAGAAAAGCTTCTTTTCAGGTACTTTCTTTTATTACCTTTTGAAGCATTCTGAAATTATATTTACCTTTATGTTCTTACCTGAACTTGATTAAATCCAAATCAAGTTGATTCAGGGACAAACCACCCCTCATCCCCTCTTCCCCCTCCAAGAGAGAGAGAGAGTGCCCTTGAATTTTGCATTCAACATGGAGTCGCAAGAGTATGAGTCATTAAATTAATTATTTTTCTTGGTGGCATTGAAGGGAAAGCTGGTGGGAGAAGAGGCTTTCACTTGTATCGCTCCAGCAATTTCTGGTGTAGCTGATCGCCCTACAGTACATAACCTTTTCAAAGCTCTTATTGGTGATAAACAAGGCATCTCGTTAAGAGTGTGGCTAACGTATATTGATGAAATTCTCAAGTAAGCTTCTGATTTCATAATACTACTAGTTTACATTGAACTTTCTTGATCATAAGGTGAATATATCATTTTGTTTCTCTTTCGTATTTCTTTTCTATCTTTTCATTATTTGAACACCTGCACATTTCAAGAAATAGTGTTCAAAATTGGTATGATGGTATTAGAAACTGGACCTTGCATCCTTTTTAATGTGTTTCTTTTGTTAGTTAATGCCAACTTCTGTTAACTAATTCCTTTTGAATTCATTCTGGTAAGCTTGATTCCTGCTGGTTTTAGTGTAGAGTGCATGAAGGAAGGAGATCATATCAGATCCACGAATATCCTCAACTCTTAGAGGAAAGAATCTTGTGCATTGGTTCTAGCAGGAAACGACCTGTTCTAAAATGGGAGAATAACATGGCATGGCCTGGAAAACTTACTCTAACGGATAAAGCACTGTATTTTGAGGTACTTATTGTCCATAATGACTTATTTATCAATTTTATATTGTATGCTATGATACCTTTTTCATTAGTTCATGAGTTGACTGATGGAGCTAATTGATAAATGCATAGACATTTCCTCTTTTAAAATTTTTTTCTATTTTTCCTTCCTGCAAATAACCTATGGATCTTTAACATACTGAGCATAATGATGTTCAAGTCTCCTTTTTCCATTTTGGAAAGTTAGTTAATTGATGAGTTCATCCAAATATTGGTTTTAGTCATGAAAGTGAGTTGAGAAGTTCGAAACTTTTAACAGGTTTTTGAGGAAACTTAGAATGGTTGTAGGATCTGTTAGGCTGGTCCTTATATTTGATTTGAAGGTGGAACAGCTTAATCTTACCATAGAACTGTTCCAATTTAGGGGCATAACATTGCATCTGAGATTTGTGACTATTGTGCTGTTGCAGGCAGTTGGACTTCAAGGGCCAAAAGATGCAATAAGACTTGATCTTACAGGGAATGGATTGCAAGTGAAGAAAGTAAAAGTTGGACCTTTCAATTCAGGGCTTTTTGACTCTGGAGTAGCTGTTTCATCTGGTTGCGGGTGAGCTTCTCCATTCTTGTTTTGTTGGAGGAAGGATTTCTACTTCTTTTATGTATATTTGAAGTTACGAGCAGAAAGTACTAAGATGATAGAAACCATAGGTTTCTGGTTAATACTTGTAGAAAAAGAAAAGATTACATAAAGTTACATACATAGGTACTGTAGTTCTTTGTTGATAAGCTTACATATGTCTATAATCTTTTTTTTGTGCGAGATGTACTTGTCAAACACTTAGAAGGAATGCAGAAAATTTCCTGTATTCTCAACCATCACACTGATGTACTTCTGAGTTTTTTTTTCTTCCTTCTCTTCTCACCTCCACCCCCCCCACCTCCCCTTGAAAATCCTTTTTTAATTTAGAGTTCCTCTTAAATAAATAAATAATTATATTTTTGAACTTCTATTCAGATCACAAACATGGGTGCTGGAGTTTGTTGACTTGGGAGGTGAATTGAGACGAGATGTTTGGCATGCATTTATCAGTGAAATTATTACTCTACACAAGTTTCTTAGTGAGTATGGGCCAGATGATGATGATCAATCACTATTTCAAGTATTCGGTTCTCACAAAGGGAAGGAAAGGGCTATCACAGGTGCTGTTAATGGCATTGCAAGACTTCAGGCACTCCAATTTATGCGAAAGCCATTGGATGATCCAATCAAACTTGTTCAGTTCTCTTTTTTGCAAAATGCACCCCATGGTGATGTTGTTTTCCAAACTCTTGCTGTAAATTATTGGGGTGGACCATTAGTTGCAAAAGTTACAGATGCAGGGTATCAACGAGCTCAAGGAATGAGCCATTCTGAAGAGGTATTTGAAATTAGTGATCACGTATTTGACATAGATGGAAGTGTTTACTTGCGGAAGTGGATGAGATCTCCATGTTGGGGTTCTAGTGCATCCATTAGTTTTTGGAAGCTTTCTTCAACTAGACAAGGAGTAGTGTTAAATAAAAATCTCGTTGTGGCTGATGAGACCCTAGTAGAAAGGGCAGCAGCAATCTGTAAAACAAAATACCAGGCGGTGGAAAAAACTCAAGCCACAATTGACGCAGCAAACTTCAAGGAATACCCAGTAATATTGACCTTTTCAAGGTTTGGCATTGTTTCTTCTCGTATTTATGGCTCCTGTTTCAGCAAGATTCTGATCACACCACCAGTGACTGGTTACATGTAACCTTATATGTCAACTGATTTGACATTCTCTTTATGCTGGAACTTATTCTTCCTTTGACAATAACTGCTAGGAATTTTGAAAAGCTTAGACGCTGGGAGGAGCCACACCTGACTCTCTCTTTTCTTGCATTCGCATGTACAATTATTTTCAGGTAGACACTTTGCACTAAATTATTTTTATGCAAACAATACTCAGTTTTAGTCCTTACAAGAAGAAGGTTAATTTATGCATTATGAACAGCGATATTATAAATTGTTTGCAGTTATCAACTTGTTAGTCTAACTTTTGGACTATGAATTTGTGAGTTACCACATGAGCCATGCTCTGTATTTCAGTCTTAAGATTTAAAAACTTTGATTAATACTTACGAATATGTTCCTTGCTTTCAAGCTTTGGCTTTTATTTAAATGACTTTTTTGTTGTTTTAACTCTTATCACTGCACACTAAGCTGATGTGTTGAACATTTACTCCCTAGAAATCTGCTGTCATATGTGTTTCCCATGGCATTGATTGTCCTAGCCACTGGCATGCTAACACTTAAAGGGCTCAAGGAGCAAGGTCGTCTTGGTAGATCTTTCGGAAAAGTCACTATCCATGATCAGCCACCTTCAAATACTATTAAAAAGATTATAGCTGTAAAAGATGCCATGCATGATGTGGAAAACTATCTCCAGAATCTGAATGTTTCTCTCCTTAAATTACGTGCAATTCTCCTTGCAGGTCAGCCTCAGGTATGATATCATGAGTCATGAGGGGACTACTAAAGAGTACAAATATAATAAGAAATTATTGTGCTTTGGAAATTTTAAGTACTGTTTGGTGCTAATTTGAATTAAATTAAACTCATTTAAACATTTTAGCAGATAACAACTGAAGTTGCAGTGGTGTTGTTATCATCTGCAACCGTTCTTCTCACTGTCCCTTTCAAGTATGTTCTTGCATTTCTTCTATGCGATCTCTTCACTCAAGAGCTTGAATTCAGGAGGGAAATGGTTAAGAGATTCTTAAGTTTCCTGAAGGAGCGTTGGCTCACTCTGCCAGCAGCCCCTGTAATTGTATTACCATTTGAAGATGAGGAGTCCAAATCAGCGTCTCAAACAAGCCAGACAGATAAAAAGGCAATCAGAAAGAAGGCAGAGCAATAGCAGGCATACTGAATTTCTTCCTCCATTTTTGTATGGACATTGCTGCACTAATACACATGGCAATTTAATCCTTGCTCTTGGCCCTATGAATTATAGGAAGATGACTGTTTGAGTTAGTTGATGGAATTGGACTCTTCCGCTCTAAAGCACATTATTCAAAGGGATGGGGAATTATATCATATTCATTGCAAATTTCTTACACATCACCATACTTAGCTATTTCATCAAGATGTGGGGATTTCATTTGAGGAAGAACTAAACATCTGGTGATGCTTATTCTGAATTACTGATAAAAGTGGACTGCTCTGGGAGGTTATATTTTCTATATGCATCATTCATCCAGGTAATACTTTTTAACTTTCCTTGTCCTTTTTTCTTTTCTTGCTGGTTTCTAGCTGTCAGATATTTTGTCAATTTTCCTTTATATGATCTGTTGATAGCGGTTTAGATGTCCTCCAACAGGTTGTATGCTAAAGAACCAGAAGCAAAAGAAGGGAATAAGACATAGCATATCTTTAGATGTCAGAATAATACACCATGTACAGGATTTTCTAAATGTTGTAAAATGGGAAGGCCCTGTGGGTGCTGGAGTTCAGGATGGTAAGGACCAAAGGAGCATTTGGCAACAATGCCCTGCACCCTGCCGCCCCTTTAGTTGTATTAACATTTGAAGGGGATTAATCCTGATCAGTGAATCAAAGAAGCTGACCTGACAAAGGAGCAATCAGAAAGAAGGCAGAGCAGCAGCAGCAGCCGGCGGCAGGCCTAGATGGAATTTACAGTTTGACACTCACGTATGCTCTCGTTGTGAAATTTTGGTTACTATCTCAGAACACAAAACGGGCAAAAGTGCATTGCATTTCTTCTTTGCCACTGAAGTGTGTGACTATTTAATTCTTCTTTTAATGTTTTTGGTCATTATGATTATTTGAGTTAGTTGATGGCTCTGGACCCATCTGTTTTAAAGCACATTAACTAGATTTGACAATGGAAATCTTTCATATTCATCACTAACTTCCGTACACATTCTTTACCAAGCGACTCCACTAAAAGTATGGGGTTCGATGGAATTTACCACTTTTTTAACAATTCTTTTTCAAATATTAAAATGTCCGACGCACCTGGCCTGGAGAATACGTAATTGTTGCCATCAAAGCAATAATGCCCAAATTTACAATTCCCTTTTCTTCCTCTCCCAGGCTTCCAGCTGTTCAAAAGAATCCAGACAAAAAAATGTGCCAATTCTTGGATTTTGGGTCCCGGGCCTAGCAAACAGGCTCTCCTCTCAAAAACTAACTAGCCTTTTCTCACTCCAGGACGAGAACCAAAAATTCAAGTCGCTGGGGCCAAAGGCCCCAAATCCACAACTTGGACTTGTTTAAGCAAGGATTGGACATGGTATTTCTCAATGAGGCTTAAATTGGTTTCCGAATGTGTCCAAATACAAGACTTTTGACGGGCTCAGGCCCGATAGTGCCCCTTGATTTGCCCATTTGGTGCGCCAATCATGGCAATATATCTCTCTCAGTTGATTTTTCTTCGTCTGCCAATGGCAGTAAGTTCAAGTAATAGCAGTGGACAATTCAAAACAATTCGAAATCACTAAAAACAAGTAAAAGATGCAAACTGCAATCAAATTGCCAAATACCAATCGTCTTTGTTAATTATATTCAAGGAAGGGGCAGAATAAAAAAAACAAAACAGCTGAATCATGAGCTTTTATCCTTGTCAACAACCTTTCTGTTGGCATAACTCTTGCCATGAAAGTCAACAAAAAGAGCCAAAAGAGAGGCATTGAAAACAGCATTGAAACACCAACCCCAGATTCCTGAACAACCAAATCCAGTAAAATGGTAGTAAAGCATCAAAACAGAGACGAGAAAGCTGAACACGAACTGCACAATCTGGCAATTAGTGACCAATCTCTTCCACTTTGGACGGATCCCCATTGCACATAACAAATAGTAAAAGTACATTATTACATGTACGGTTGCATTGGTGACAAGTGCTACGGGGAACAAAGACTGGCGAGTGTGTAACCAAAGGTAGCACATAACCACTACTGTTCCATGGTGGTAGACGTGGAGAAATGTCAGCCTTTGCTTCGATTTGCTTAAGATAATCAAAAGGGTATCAATGAATTCAAGAATCTTGGAGAGATAGAAGATGTTGGCCCAGAAAAAGAAGGGGCCGGTCGGAAGGGTGTTGGGAGGGAAGCAAATGATGTGGTTCAAGGAAAAAGGACGGGAGATGATAGAAAGGATGCAGCCAAGGGCCATGATAAGCGACAGGAGGAAGAGAGTGAGGGAGTGCACGGCTGTGATGGGTTTCAGGATGTGGGTTCCAAGGGATGGGAGAGGGGTTCGAGAGAGGAGGAATGTGAAGGAGAGGTAGGTGAGGACTGTCATAGCGAGGAAGAGTGGGGTGGAACCAAGAGTTTGACCTTCAGTCCATCGGAAATAGAGGATTTTGGGGTGGTTCACCAGCCAATACTGGAGGGATGAGTAAACTCCGTCCATCTTGAAACTCACGCGTCACCAGATTGGCAGTAGAGGCGGCGGCTGTGGTGGCTGGACGATGGAAATTAATGAGATGCAGGGTCTAGATTGGAGAGGAACTTCAATGTTTTTTGGACCCTGTGCTTCGTTATCCTATATCCCTGCTTTTGTGAGTTGGCTATTTGTTACCGCATACCGAATCCAGAATACGTGCGGTACCGAAACTACTAATAGTCGAAATCGGTCTATTTGGAGTCCTTTTTCTATGGACAGTTCGATATCAATCCTTCAAGCTGTATATTCATGAGCTTTTCTTGGCTTTGACCCGTAAGGTTGCACATTATGAGAAATCCAATTTCCATCATTTCATCAATTCATAATTTTTAGGGTGACCCGAACATCCCGTAGGATCAGGGTTTCGAGTACTGACCCACCTTGCTCATAAAGGCACATAGCCTCAATTCTCATGTTATTATCTCGTTTTGGCACGGTGAAAACTCAACACTATGTTTGCCCAAATCATTCGCATGCTCTCGTACCTAAATTCTAAAGGCACAATATAGATACTGGTCAACAATCAACTCGAAGCCACACTAAGCTTATTTCATTTCAGGAAACTCATATATCAAGACTTCAATCCTTAATCTCATTTTAGTTTGCTCGCATGCTTGTTGGACATTCAATATCATGCCTATCCCAGTTTGAGGACTCAAATGTGCTATCCTAGCCACAGCACACCTCTATTGATTGGTCACAAGGATCTAGCAATATACTTGCTTGTTTGCTCACTCATCTTTCAAACTCGATGGTATTTTTTCTATGTACCATCTCATGATCTTTCTAGTTCAAAGAGAGAAAATCAAAGAGCATAGGAAATATTACCGTCTAATCTTATGATTCAACACAAAGGCACAACACAAGGCCCGTCGACCCCAATCATCTTCGAATTTATCATAACCTAAAGAAATATCATATCACACTCGTGAGTCGATTATATTCGTTCACATAAACATCACATATGTTTAGGAGTAGTTTACTTTAGATTAACTAAGTCTCACTACCCATTAGTCAAAAAGATGGTAAAAAATTAATACCAGTCGTCCCTCTATAAAAAGCATAAAAGCTTTCTCAATTATTCCATTAAAAATTGTAAAATTATTTAAAATGAAAACACTTATTTTCTCAATCATCTTAAGGTTTTTCTTCAACCAACTTAGAATTCAATAACCTTCTTTTTAGTTACCATAATTTTCAGATTTTGCTTATTGCTTCACCAACTCACTCGAGAATGTTTGCACACGATTTCGACCGATAGCACCCCGTTGGCTACCAGGCGGCACTCGTCCACTGGTTCGCACTTGCTCGTACATTTTAGGGCATACATCTTAAGACCTAGGACTTACACTGTCAGCACACACTATCAGCGACATGTTCCAAGCTTACACTGTTCGCGCACAGTTCCAAGACCACTATCCCAACCACAAATCCTCGTCCGTTGCTCAACTCAAGGTTAATTATAGCAGAACCGAGGCACATCAAGATCTGACCATGATACTGTTCTTGTTCTTTTATTCTCGTTCCTATACTATATTTAGAATTGGGTTGGAAGCTGAGCAGTGGTTGGTCTTTGGGTTTTGAAGGACTAGAATTAATGGCTTTGTAGCTTTAAGGGTTTCAAACTTTGAGGCCAGGGGCCAGGGTTGGGCCACCCAACTTCACCGAGTCGCTTAGAATGGAGCTCAAAGTGAAATGCCAGGAACTAAATTGTATTGTTTATATATATAGTTTGGTTAATATAAACCCTTGTTTTTAATGATGAGGTTCAAATATGAACTTCGAAGTTTGAACTACTGAAACTGGGGATGACTGGGATTCGCATCTAATATGAAGACACCAGTGCTCTTCAGGGAAGACAGTAGAACAAATTTCCCTGGGCCTTGTTTTTAATGATGAGGTTCAAATATGAACTTCGAAGTTTGAACTACTGAAACTGGGGATGACTGGGATTCGCATCTAATATGAAGACATCAGTGCTCTTCAGGGAAGACAGTAGAACAAATTTCCCTGGGGATGAGTTATGGCACCTGCCAAAAACACATGCAAAATAACTAGTACAGAAAATTACAATGAAGCAGACTGATTCAATTAAAAAAAAGTTGGCTACACTTTGAGAGGAAACAGTATATCTATGCCTTCTATTCCAAATTCATATATAGAAATTAATGAACAATTAACTGCACAGCGCTCTATTATAAGTATCTGCCAAAATTATCCCTTTCAATTTATTTTGGTTGCAAAAGAAATCAAGCTACTCAAGTTGGAGTGTAGCACTTCATTGAATATAACAAATATATAACATCAAATTAAAACTAGTAGAATCAATCAAGAACTCTTCCAAAAAACAATCTTCATGTTAAGGTTAATGTGCTGGTGCTATGTGATCCTTTAGCCCAAAATCAGCACTAGACAGAAATCATAGCAAATCCACACGATGTTGAGGTTCTTTTCTTATTGAATTCCCTCCGTCAGGCAGCAAAATTGGACAGCAATGGCAATTATTACAACTAATTACGCAGAGCTTGCAGTTACCTTCTTGCGGACAATCCTTTTTCTCCGGGCCTTTGGAGCTCCAGTTTCTCCATTAGCAGCAGATTCAACATTTTTTCGTCTGATTCCAAGAAGTCCAAGACCAGAAACAATAGCATTCTTGGATATAAACCATTTAGAAGATGACCTAGTCCCATCCTCGGAAGGTTTGTTGTAAGCCTTCAAGAGGTTATCTGACTGAACCAGCGGAACAACCTCAACACCTAGCCAAGCCAGCCTTGATCTCTCTCCTAATTGAACATTCAAAAACCTGCACAGAACCAGTCAAGTGAGGTAAAAAATACCACAAACTAAACTTAAGAAACCAACAATGAAGAGTTTAAAGTGCAAAAAACATCAATTTAGTCATCTTCAAAAAGATATAATACAAGCAACTAATGGTTTTGTTATCTAGGTTCTGAGATGACTAACCATGATACGAGCAAGAGCAATAGGAAAGGTACTAGAGATCCCTTGATTGAGTAGAAAAATTTAGAGATCAACAATTTTTAGAAAATAGAGATGCATGTATATTTAGCACTAATATACAGAGAAGGGATCAAGAAGAAGAAAGGAATCTCCAAGCAAAATAAGCAGTACTTAGCACAATATAAACAAGAGAAATAAAGAAAGGGATGTGGTTGGGGGATGTGAGCAAAAGAAAGATAGAGACCTTAAAGCTGTGCTGAAGAACAATGCTACACCAATGACATCAAAATGGTTCACCATTGCTTGATCAAACCCACACAAAAGCTGATATCTAAGGTTTGCATAGAGTCCAAGGAAAGCACCATAACCAAGTGCATTGGTACTCACAGACGGAATTGTCACAGATAACCTGCCAACAGTAAAAAAAAAAAAAAAAGCCCATTCTTAATGCATAGGTAAAGATGCCTGCTAAAAACAGGAAAAAATATTTTTTTCAAATAGATGGAGCAAAAGGGTAACTGAAAAACTGTCAAATCTACTTACTTTTCTTTCTTTTTACTGGCCAAAAAATTTGACAAAGAACCTTGCACAGCTCCAGCAGTTAATCCAACAATACACAACTCTGCAGCCTTGTAGAAAAGAGAATGGATTCTCTTTTGCAAGTCAAATTCTCGAAGTGGGTAACTCTGTTCAAATATATTGTTTGGAAGCTTTTGCAAAGTGTTTTGCAAGTCAAACCGGAAGGTGTTACCATAAGAACGACAAGGAGCAAGAGACCAAACTACTAGAGCATTGCATGCTGCTATAGTGAGCACGTTCATAAGTGCCAGATCCCATTCTTGCTTAATCCTGTAGACACAGTATAGCAAGTCTTTATTAGTTTGATTTACCAAAATGGATGAACAAGGCAAGTGTGTATTCATGTTATTAAAAACCACCTATCCTTTCGATTCTTCAACTCCCACCAAACAGAAGAGCCAATAGTGGCAACCTCCTCTAAAAGAAGCCTGTACAAAAAGGCAGGATCCGCAAGCATCCTGAAAATAAAAACAATTATACATAAGTATCCAATGACAGATTCAACCATATTCTGTGATCAACTATTCATTTCATTCAGATTGTCGGCAACATCTTCAACAGGTGAATAGAAGCATATCCGAGATTACCTGCCAATAAATGCCCGCGACATTCCTTGAGGAAGTGTACGAGAAATAAATCTACTGGTGGTTGGTCTTGCATTAATTGCTACGAATTTTACCATTTGTGCTGAACTGACCAATCCCTGAAGGTAAAAACTTTTAGTCAGCATCTGACCACAATGCACAAAGTCCCTGACCATGTGATAAAGCAATAAGAAAAGTCTAAACCATTTCATAAGCTTGTCGGAAACCAGCAGGCAAGTCCATCATCGTCTTGTACCACTCATTCAATACGGCATCTACAAATTTTCGATCAAAAAGCTGAAATAGAAAAGGATGGAAAATCAATAATTCAAGTGAAAATCTATTCCTTAAGCATTTGACTAAAATAGTTGTTAAAACATTCATAATGAATCTGCTAGACTTCGATCTCTTACCTCTTCAAGAAACATCCGTCTTCTAAACAGTCCACCATCTTCTCCCTCCCCATCATCATCAAAGTCATCGAAATAATCATCGTCATCTCCATCATCATCACCTCCATCCCCACCTCCATGATTAATTTTCTTTCCAATATCTCCTCCACCTCCTCCGGTTGCAAGCTGTAATTTCAAATGTATTAGCTGATCTTCCAAAATTTTTGACAGTGTTTTCAAGTAAACAAATGGTATTAACGACTCAAAGAAATAAAAATTTGATTTGCAAAACCAAAAAAAAAAAAAAAAAGATAGAAGCTCACATTGAAACCACTGGCAACTAATTATTGAGGTCAATAGTAGGAGCATCAATATCCCAACTCCTCACACCCAACCAACAGACAATAGCATAAATATACAGATATTTAAACAATAAATCAGCATAAACCTAACGTATATAACTCTTAGACACAGATGTAAGTCCATAACATGTTATGTAATCAATATTTTAACAAACCAACTGCTATATTCAAACTTCCATATGTAAATCATGCATGCCAAATCACAAGTAGATAGCATCTCTTAAAAAATAAAATCTGAAAAAAAAATTAATTTTGTTCCTAATTTAACACAGCAAACGTTTAAGTTTAAGAGTGCATTACCAGGATTTTGGCAAATAGGCTTAAAAATATCCTGCCAAATATCATAAGCAAAAGTCAAAGTGCTTTCATAGAAGGGAGGAGCATCACGACAATGTGCTTATGGCACAGGAGAAGGTAAGGGGATATGGTAGAACCACATTATCCCCAAGGTGTGCTATAAAGATTGATTTGCAAAAGGCTTTCGATACATTGGATTGGAATTTTATCCACAACATTTTGGCAGCCATTGGATTGCCTTCAAAATTTATAGGCTGGATCAACAACTGTATTACAACCCCAATGTTTTCTATATCACTTAATGGAGGGCTAGTGGGCTATTTTCAAGGAGCTAGAGGAATAAGGCAAGGGGATCTACTCTCCCCATATCTATTTGCTCTAGCAATGAATGTGCTGTCAAGAAAGCTAGATGAAGCTGCCAAGTTTGAAGTGTTTGCCTATCATCCTAAGTTCAAGAAGATCAAGCTCACACATTTATCTTTTGCGGATGATTTGTTGATTTTTGCAAAGGGAAGCAAGGATTCAATCATTGGTGTCAAGGAGGTTATGCAAGCTTTGTACTTGTTCTCAGGGCTACAACTAAATTGCAAAAAGAGTGAGATATATGCCACAGGAATAGGCAAGGAAGAGATCCAATCAATTCAACAAGCCACAGGATTCAAAGTAGGCTTACTTCCTCTCAGATACTTAGGAGTCCCAGTAGTCACCAGAAGACTCACTGCAAAAGATTGTGCTCAATTGCTTGAGAAGATCACAGCCAGGATTACAGGATGGACTAGTAAGTACTTATCTTATGCTGGAAGACTACAGCTAATCCAGTCAGTGCTCTTCAGCTTACACAATTATTGGTGTAAACACTTTATATTGCCTAAGCATGTGTTAGAAAAGATCAATCAGCTATGCTCTAGCTTCCTTTGGAAAGGCCAGGAGGGGACTGCCAGAGGAGCTAGAGTCAGTTGGGAAGCCATTTGCCACCCTAAGTCTGAAGGAGGGTTGGGTATCAAAAACACACTAAATTGGAACAAGGCATGTATGATGAGGAATATTTGGTCTATTTTCTCAAAAGCAGGATCTATATGGATAGCTTGGATTGAAGCCTATGTCTTGAAAGGCAGAAGTATATGGCAAGTTGCACCACAGCAGGGTAACAGTTGGGGCTGGAGGAAACTACTTCAACTCCGGACTGCTGCACGCCAATTCATCAAACAGGAAATTGGTATTGAGGTGTGGCCTGTCCCTAGCAATGGCTATTCTATTGCAGCGGTTTGGAATGAGATAAGGTCTAAGCAAAGGAAGGCTGAGTGGCACAGACTAATCTGGTTTCAGTATCATATCCTGAAACACTCAATGATTGCATTGATGACTATACTAAATAGGCTTCTAACAAAAGATAGATTGAGGAATTGGAGAGTGGAGGTGGATGAAAGGTGCTGCCTATGTCAACATGGGAGGGAATCCAGGGACCACCTTTTTTTGGTTATGAATATGCAAAAATGGTGTGGAGAAGGGTATTAGAATCATGCAAGATTGACAGAGTAGTTGGGGAGTGGACTGAAGAATTGAAATGGGCAGTGACAAGGATAAAAGGCAAGGCACTGACATCAGTAGTATTGTGCATTGCTTGGAATGCTCACATATACTATATATGGAGAGAAAGGAACTGCAGATTATTCAAGAATAAAGAAGGAACAGAAGAGCAAGTGTATGAGCAGATTAAGGAAGATGTTAGGACTCGATTACATAGATTGCATTCAATTGCTGCTGTAGATTGCATTCGATTGCTGCTGACCCAGTCAACAAGATTTTGTGTGATTCTTCGAATATAAATAAAGCTATATTGCATAATAGTTAGAATATGATTTGATTGTATATATGAATTGTATGTACTGTAGCAATTTTATCGCTTCTTTGGATAAATAAAATACAACTTATCAAAAAAAAAAAAGTTGAAACATACTTATATTGTCATGTTGAATGTTGTAGGGTTTTGTTCGAATCTTCCACCAATGGACAACATGATAATTACAAGGATGGGATAGACACAGTCATCTATTAAGCTAGATTAACTCAAAAATAATTTGAGCTTCAGTAAGTTACATGATAGGCTCTGTTGGATAGAACATCAAGTTAGAATATTTCAACCTCAGTTTGAAAATAACATTAGGAGAGATAAACCTTTGAATTTTCATTAATTTAACAAAATGACAAGACTTTCTAGCAGGAATCCTCCTAATGTTTTTATACCTAAAGACTAAAACATTTCTTGCTCTAATTTCAAGAACAAAGAAGAATACTTAATACTCATTTCTCCAATTAAGCTTAATTGAGTGAAAAATTAAATTTTTAGAGCAAAGCTAAAAATTTTGAGGACTAACATCAGGGCTAGACGTGGACCGTTTCTGAGACTGAGACAAATCAAGCTTCCCTTTCTCCAACGTAACGGTACCAAACGCACCGTACTTTCCTCCTTTCATAACCGGTCCCACCTCACCCGAACTGGAAGAAGCGGACTGCACTGGAGCCAGTGGTGCCAAGAAACAGCGCTCGAGAGCAGCGACGGAGGAATCTCCGCCGTCGATTAAAGAAGACGACGAACATCTCACTGTCAGATTCATCCTAAGCTTACCGGACAAAGGACGAAACAGGGGGGGCAGACTTGGTTTTAATAATAAGGTTTTGGGAAGTGGAGAGGTTTGGAACATTATATGAGACATTTTTTTGTGTTTGGATAGAGACAAAGTTTAGGTTTTATTTTCTTTTCCGAGAAAATTTTTTGTAAATGAGGTTCTCGTTTATATTTTTCTCTCTTGGAGAGAGAGGAAGAAGAGACTGGCGGGGGTTTGAATGGCTAGTTCAGCGGACGACAAGACAACCCAATCCGATTGGCGAGGAAGGAAAAATGAGTCAACCCGGTTAGTAGAATCATCCGGCTCGGTGAGTTTGGGTCGTATGTCGAGTTGTAGGCTCATATTCTTCGGCCATACCAACAAAAGGGCAACCATTTTACAGCCAACAAAATATATTGAGAGGAAATTGACAATTAAATCCTCTTTTTTTTTTTTAATAAATGAATAATTTTGTTCTTTTTTATTTCCCATTTAATCATATATATATATATATATATATATTCTGTTTTTCAACTATTTTTATTTTCTTGATTGGTGATGAGACTTGCTAGGTGAAAAAGCAATGACTTAAATGGAATGAATTAATTGAATTAAAATTTAATTTTTTAATTTAAATTAATTGTAGCTGTTATTTGCACAACACAACCAGCCAATCTTATTTGCTTTATATGCACTTGGTGTTGTATTGCTAAAGCTCAAGGCATCGAGCTCTGCCTTCTATGGTGGATAGAACAGGAAGCACTAGCATCATGGTGATCATCCGATAATCGCCATTGATTATCCATTAAGCAAATAATTCATGGGCCATCTAGAAATGATAATGCTAATCCAGCATAGACTCTCGGGGGCGGAATAGGAACAGAAACCTGCTTTTAACAAGTTTGACTGCCACCGACTGCACAACAACCATCATTGTAACTGGACATATACACGAAATTTCTCTTTCGTTACCCCATTCCTTCTGGTGCACCAAACACACCCAAAACGAACATGACACATCAGCTGAAGTCCTACATGTCTACTTCCTTGCAAGGTGATGGCTTGGTCATGGCCTGATTTAAAGGTAATGGAGACTATTGACTGAGATTAGCAGAAACCCCCTTCTTGTTTTGATTTTGCCATGAAACTAAGAATCAAGCACGTCTTTTCGCCAGAAACCAGTCATCAGAATCATTCAAGAGTTGAAACTAAGGAAAGATGAATTCCCGGTTCATGAATTATGCCCCCCCCCCCCCCCCCCCTCATAAGGATTCATCCATTACAGGAAGCTATTCAACATGCTGAATTCATATAAATATATGCTCTTTTTTTTTATCTTTTCCTCAGTATTATAAAGGATTACTTTATACATTTCCGCATAACATCTTTTGCCTTTACCCTACATTATAGTTGCTCAAAAAGAACCAGCATATTCTTTACACTTGAATCAATGTAAGAGATGGTTCTTCAAACCTGCAAGGTGATGCCTGCTTCTTAAGTAGTCACACCATCTCTAGGACTTATTCCCTTTGGGAAAAACATCCAGCGCTTGCTAAGCATTCAAAGTAAGATGAGTGGCCTGCCAACTTTCCGGCTTGACCAGCAGTACATTGCATGCTTGAAAGAAAAGGAAAAACTTCGAAACTTTTCACAGGTGCTTCTACCAACCTCGCCGTATCAAAATTGGGAAATGAACATCATCTAGCATGGTCTTTTGGATGTCTTGGAACTTTGGGTGGTATGACACAAAATGAATTAATTCGACCATAAAAGGAGATGAAACATCAGGACACCTAACAATCCCAATAACCAGAATTCCTTGGGGAGAACACGTAATGCTATAGCTGCACACAACAATCACCAAAAAAACCATTACAATTAGCTATAATTTAAATAATACAAATAAAACCAAAAACAAATGCATGTCCAACTGGCATTTCTATTGTCTAAATCACCATTAATATAGATAGATGGGAACTAGATGAATCTTTACAAATATTAAAACATTTGATACAGCAATACTACCTTTACGCTTGAACTCATAGGTAGGAAAGCTTTTTTTTTTTTTTCAGACAGAATCTACAATAAGATATAAAATGGAAAACAAGACATAAGCAGAGTCATATGCTTACATGATGGAGATTGCGCAGATGGAGGCTGAGCAAGTGGTGCAGAAATTGGACCTTCTGTACCTTGATGAGACCCGTAAGACACTGAAGCTAACGGGGGTAGGTCAGGGGGCAACTGTGACCGGGGACTTGGTAAAGGTGGGTGGTTAGAAATTAGGTTAGGATGAGATCTTGGTGAAGAGCTTGGTGGAACTGCAGGACGAGAGTATGGACAGAGAGGAGGAAGGCGAGTCACTGTACTAGAAGGTGCAGGAGGAAGAGAAGGATAGGGACCACTTTCAGGACCTAGTGAATGCGTGGGACTACGAGCAGATGGAGAAGCAGCTTTGCACTTAGGACAAGGTGGAAGATGATAACTCTTGGGTGATGATGGTGGAGAGTGAGTCGGCGAAAAAGTGGGATGTGGTGAAATTGAGGGCCCTGGGGATGGAGCTGGTGAAGGAGCAGGAGGCATAGCATTTAGTGTACCCTTCAGATAAGATGATAAGCTAATGCTTTTAACTTTACCGAAGACTGAGTTATTAAGACCGAGATTCTTTGCAGGAGAGCCTGTGATGGTTTGAGCCAACTGCTTTAATCTCTGAGGCAGAAGGCTACGAAAATCATCTGACATTACTGAAGCCTGAACTGTGACTGAAGCGGATATTGTGGAACCATTTTTGTTTGTTAATTGCACAAACAAATTCTGCAATAAACAAACGAAAATAATTATAAACAAGTAATACCAACAAAAAGGACTCAAAAATTAGGACATCAAAGGGCAAAAGAACGAAAGGCAAATAAACTCCTCTTTGATCTTCCCTAACCCCCAATTTCTGTTCCAAAGAATGAAGAAACTTCAAGGTTTTAATTTCCTAAACTAGGGTTATGATATGGTTATTAATACATGATCTGGCATCTATTAGTATATCCTAGGTGCTAATCAAGAGCCACAGCATCTTCAACAGCTGGAAATGCTAAAATAGTTAGTTAACACAGAAAACTTAAAATGCAATGCATTTCTTCATCCTTTATGAGAATCAACTAATTAATATTCATAAATTTAAATGATTTTGAATAATTTAATAACAAGAATTTTTCCTATTCCCACTTCCAAACACTATTTGACCAGATCTGAGGTCATGAGAATAGCACTGTGAGGCTACCATAGATCCACCCAAAACCAACTATTGGTGAAATTGAAATGTGTGAGCATTGCTTGAAACTAATGTCATACCTCATAAGACCTCAGATGCAGTCCATATTTCAGCTGATCCTTTAACTCAATGAATTTGTCCTCTATTTCAGATATCGAATTATTCAGAGTAAAATTAAATAGAATCTGGGTTATCTGCCAGATGGAAGCAGATTGTACGGGAATTATGGTGATGCCCCCAGGAAACTTCAAAATCTCAAACTCAGAAGGCTGCCCAAAAATGGAAGATGTCAAGGTCAGATTGGATTGCCGGAGGAACAGCTCAATTAAAGATGATCTCAGCACACTTAGGGATACTGGATTTATTGGACTATTTATGGGATCGGAAAGAACACCAAACACCACATCAGTATAGTTAGATGCACCTGACTGGTGCATGGATAAGATAGCAACCTGTTGAAAAAAGTAACTTTTAGAACAACTTTTCACATAATATAGCGGTAAATGTAACATAATGGCAGAAGTTAGGTGTAAAACCTTGGTATTTGGAACACCTATTTCTACATAGATATCAAACTCTAACTTTTCAATATGCTGAACAAGCTCCGAAACTGGTTTTTGAAGTGTAAAGTATGCATGAACTGGGGCTGCAAAAAATAAAGGAATATATAAGCAACAAACAAGGAATATTACTTATGGAACTACGTTGAAGAACTCAAAAAGTCATTGAGAGCGATGGAAATACAACCAATGAAATGTCTTATTTCAATATGCATTCAGACCAAACCAGGAAAGGTCAATTCCGATTAAGGAACCGAATCACCTATCTTAGCTTCATATCTCATTCCAAGAAAGGAGTAATATGTCAATGAAGACAATTGAGTTCGATAGAGAATTGATTGGTTATATAATGGCACATGATCTTGCAAAAGATCACCGGTTTCAATGTGATTTAATTATCAATTTAAGGAATGAAAAACAATAACACATCATTGTCTCATAAATTTGACATTTTTATTTACAAGAAAAAGGAGAGGAAAGCATTGAAACAAACCATTAATTGCTTGCCCCTATCACTAAAAGGAGAAATACTCTAAATATAGCAATACAATCACTCCCTATGATACAATTTTAATTGGAGCCACACTTTAGTCAAAAAATAAAATGCAATAAAATAGAAAATATAATTCCCATTTGGAAATTAAAAAAAAATGCCTTCACAGAAATTCTAGAAGAAGGTGAAATAAATGGATGCCCATTTCCCCAAACATTAGCAGAAACTAATAAAACAAGAACAAGGCAAAATAACTATCATCTGCCCACCTGAAACATCAGAAACCTATGAAAGAAGAGCAAGACAATCATTTACAAGTACCAAGAGAAAAATTCATAGATCCCATGTCACATTCAGTAAAAATTTATGATACAGGAGCCATCAAAGAATCATTACAACCCAATTACAAGGTAAATGAGACATCAATTAGGGAATACCCATTAGCCCTCAAGAATTGCGGATCCAAATTAAAGAACAAAAATGCAATGAAATTCAACATACCCCATTTGCTGGAGGCATCATAAAACCCCAAATCAGACAAAAAATTATGCTAAAATTGCAAAATACTCACTTCAAAAATTAAACCCTAATCATTCAATCAATATGAGAAACTGAATTTTTAAAAAAATTACCACTGAGCTTAATAGCTTGCTTAGCATCAAACCCAAACTTTAGAGAGCGAAAAGGAAGGATCCAGAAGATCCCAGGCAACAAAACCGACAAACTGAGAAACAAAACAAAAACACATCTGAAACTGAACTCATTTGAAAGCCTTGACAAAACCATCCAACATCTCCCACACAAGAATCCCTGATGCCCTTGATTGTTCCCCAATTCAAGACTCTGCTTTCTTTGCTGCAGATCCTGGTCCTCATTTTTCCCCATTGAAAGAGCATCTGGAACATAACAAAGCAACAAAAAAAAAAAGATTCTCTTTCTCTCTCTAAAAAAACCCGCTACGTAACTCTAACAACAACAGCAAAGAAGAGCTTGCAAAGGGTTGTGAGAAGAAGAAGGGTGTGGATTGACAAACAAGTGTTAATGGTGGGCATATGCCCCTCTCTCTCTATCTCTCTCAGAATTAAACTACTAAAATTTGAGGACAAGCTTATTCTTTCTCTCTCTTTTCTTTTTTATTTAATTTATTTTTTTAACACTGTAAGTTTAATTTAATTTGAAGAAAAGTTTTTTATTTTGGTTTTTTTAGTGTTAAATTGACACAACTGACGTTAGAGTCTGGACTCTGTTAAAGTCAATTTTAAATTACTTTATTGGCTACCGAACGTTGAGGAGAAGCGAAGGAGAAAGTGAGATAAGGGTATTTTTGGGATAAAATAAACTATAGACAATTCAAAAAAATTTTTTAATTTTTTAAATTGTCAAATTTGAATTTAATTATTAAAACAACTTTTAGTATATTATTATTTAAAAAGTTTTTGTTTTAATCAAATAAAAAAAATTTATTAATGCTAATAATATTGTTGTAGATATTAATAGTAAATTTTATTAATGTAGCAAAAAATAGAAATATGTATTATTCATATTTTAATGTGTATAAGACTAGAAATAATTGATGATAATTTTTTTTAACCCATAAAAAAATTATTTGATATACTAATAATAAAAATTTTTTAATTTTACAAGTGGATTAAAATGATAATACATATTTAATTTTTTAAAATTAATTTTATATTTTTTAAATATATATTAAAGTACATTTGTCTTCCTATTAATTTTGTTTATGAAGTTAAAATTTTTTATTATTAATGTATTTGATAATTTAAAAAAATAAAATAAAATATTTTTAAACTACAATAATAAACAACTATTATATTAAGTTATAGTTATTAAACTATCAATTAATAAATTAAAACATTATTAAATAATTAAACTCACACACAATTATATTTAGATATTAAAAAATATAATTTGTTTATAAATTCATTTAGCTATAAATTTTTTTTATCGTTTATTTTGATATATGTTTCTTCTACCTTTTTATCTTATCCCACTACCCTTGATAGTGTTGGGACTGAAATATGTTGACCAATATGGGCCATCCACTTTGACCAATGATAAGTCGAGGATCTCTTTCGGTAATCAATTAGAATAATTATATCAATAGATTATGCTACATATTAAAGATGTGATGTCTACTTTGTATGGTCACTATATACTAATTACAGATGTAAATGAGTCGACAGTTTGACTAAAATAATTAAATTCAATTTAATTTTGAAGTATGAATTTTGAATTTAATTTATATTTAATTTTTTTAATATTTTAATTTAATTTGATTTAATTTGATTATATTTTTATTATCAATTACAAAAATGTGAAGAGAAAATTATAATACTAGCAAAACATCATTTGATTTAAGTAGATAAAGTGTTTAAATTTAATATTTTATTACTTCGGTGATAAATCAAATTATCACAAAATGTGATTTTATCATTATATTTTTTAATTTTATTAAAAATTATTGATAAAGTTAGAATATTATTTAAAATATTCTTTTATTTTCTCATAAAATATTCATTTACCATTAATTTTTAAGTTTTTTAATTAAATTAAAATAGTACAATAACAAGATTAGGCTTGATTAAAAATAAATAATAAATTTGATCCATCACTTTAATAAATTAATAAATTTAAAGTTTATCCAATTTAATCATATGTAAATAAAATAAATTTGAACCTCAAATCTTGAACATTTCATATTATCTTATAATCATATTTAGATAGCTATATAAGCAACCTTATCAATCTTCACTTATTTGCAACTAGATTGGAAGAACGTGCCTCTTTTTTCTTTATTATTCTTATAATATAAAATAAAGTTGTTATGAGTTCGAAAAGCAAAAGATGGCAGTCACAAATCAAGATTATTTATTACTACACGTGCTAATACAAAAAAGTGCTACAATAACGTAGTCTAACAATTTTTTTAAAGTGGTTGATTATTTATAAGGGTCATTTTGAATATATGATTTACAGTTATTTATTTTAATTTATTAGATATGATTCATCTTATTTTAATTTGAAAGATTAAATAATTTATTTATCTCGAATTTTTTTATAAAAAAATAATAATTTTTTTATATATTTAGTTAAAAAAACAAATTTTTTATATTTCTATTAAAAATTTTGTTCAAGTACAACAAGATGCACATTCTAAGTTTTTATTGTTAACTTAAATTTTTTATTTTAAAAATTAATTATAAAAAAATAAAAATTTTAATTTCAGTAATTAAATATTAATTTTTGATAATTTCATATATTAAAAAAAATCAATGCAATTAAGAACTCTTATCACATTATAATACTCGAATATACAAAAATTAAATTAATAATTAATAAGTTTTAAGAGATAATTGAATGAAATTTTGTTCAAAGTCCTTGATTATGGGATGACTAAAATTTAGAGTGTTTTATATAATAGATCGTAATTTTTTAAAATAAAAAATAATAATAAATTTAAAATAAGTTGTTTATAAAAAAAAAGTTAATTACATTAATGTTTCCATAAAGTATGATTTTTTTTCCCTTATTTATGTGTTTTCATGTTTCTTTAGAATCTCAAAGAATTCGACAAGCACTAAAGTCATTCCCAAAGTTGGTTGATTTGAGGACCTATTTTTTACCATTTACTTCACAACTTACCAAATAACCACTTTGCTTATTTACTTTTAGGTCCTTTTTGTCAAAATAAAATATTTTTGGCACTTTGAACCCACAAATTCATTTGTTTGAGTTTATTATCCCAAAAAAGCCAAGAAAAATAATAATATGGGCCTTAAATTATGTAATAAAGCATAACTTTTAAGGATTAAAATTTAATGGATATCTAATCTGAAATTTAATTTTTGTATTTATGCAATTGTTTTTAAGTTGAACAATTAATTTAAATATCAATACTAACAATTTTTTTTTGTTTCAAACTACAAGCTCATTTATAGAAAAATAATAGATATCCTTTGATTCCTTTCTTATAAATATATCTTACTCTATACTTGAAATTGGCCATAAATAGATTTTCATGTTGAAAACAACAACTTTTCAGTTTAAGCAATGGTTAGAGATGAAATAATCACTAATTGCTTTCATTTTCAATATAACATTTTACTATTTTTTAAAAATAACCTACCTGAATATAATTATTAAATTTTCATTTGATAAATATTTTTATTTTTATTATACAAATATAAATAAAAAACAAAATAAAAATATATACCACATAGAACCTCATGAATAGATCAATTCTCTTTATTATGATTTACCATGTAGAAATGAATTATAAAAGGATAAATGATTTACCAAAAAACAATCAATGGATGGTGTTAATTTTCCTAACTGTTTTCTAATAAATCATTGACCATTCAGAGTTCACCACTATTTATTTTCTTTCATTTTTTTGCTAAAAATAAATTTAAACTGCATTATGAAATACATATTAAGAGATAGTTATTTAAATAGAAGGTCATTGAACCGTGATAATCCATTGATGATTTTGACACTTAATCATATCTGTCCAAACATAGGGAACTCAATTAATGCTTACATTTATAAGAAAAAAATCATCTTATTTGGTATATGCATATCCATCACCACCACCCCAGATTTTCTTTAAATTCACCCTTTTTGTATTAGTAATATCTGAAAATATTGTATAAGAACAGTTGGCTTTCATAATTATCTGATTAAACATGATTTAGGTGGTCGTTGTTCATTTTATAATTACGTTTGGGTTCCAAAACATAGCTTTTGAATGCAAAAGCAACACTAAACATGTTATAGCTTAAGTTAAGAATAACTATGACCGTTAAAAGTGAGCCAATGATAAAACCTAATTAAGAAGTGTTGTTTTGATTCCAAAACATAGCTTTTTGAATGCAAAAGCAATATTAAACACGTTATGGTTTGAGTTAAAAGTATTTTTTAACTATTAAAAATGAACCAACGATAAAAACTAAATTAGAAGTGTTTGCGGTTTGAAATTTATGATTTGGAGACAAAATGATTAAATACCCACTTAATTATTTATTTTTACAAAAATAACTTTTTTTCTTTTTTAACATCATGTCTTCTTTAGATATTTTAATTTTTCACAGCAATGCTAAAAAATCTTAAACTATAATTTTCAACAGTAATTTTTTATAGTATTTTTCAAATACATTTTTTGCTTTTTCCTAAACCAAGTTTTTCCAACTGCAACAGTGATGTTAAATAAGGTAACATTAATAATGCTAATGAGGTATTAACTTAACGGTAAAAAACCCTAAAATCTTGAGATCATAAGTTCAAATTCCATTGTGTGTGGCTTTAGTTGTTTAAAATTATATTATATTTTGTTTGTTGATTATTCCGTGATTGTAATTTGATTATATAAATGTAATACTTAATTATGAATGGAACTTAAAAAAAACTTAACATTAATAATGGACATAAAATTTTGTTCTTAATTTTACATTTTTTTAGTTGAAAAATGTTGTTCTTAATTGGATTTTCAATCACTATAAGAGCCATATTTATTATTCATGTACTATAATGCACATCCAAATAGACAATAGTTCTTATGTTAATAAAAAATTTAAATTATTATAAAATCAAATTTTATGAATTACGTTATGACCTTACTTGGATAGTTATGCTTTAGTTTAAACTTTTTTTATTTTTTTAGTAAATTAAAAAAAAATAGTTTTCACTTATTGAAAGATAGACTATGGTTTATTAGGTGAAAATTATATCCTAAATGGTAAGCAAAGTTTTAAAATTTTATTATCAAAGCTAAAAGATTATAGTATATTTATTAAAAATATTTAAAATAAATATACAAAAATATTTAAAGATTATAGTATATTTATTATCAAAGCTAAAATATTTAAAATTTAATGGACATCTAATCTGAAATTTAGTGTTTTTAGTCTAAACAATCATTTTTAAGTTGGATATTCAATTCAAATTTCAGCATTAACAAATTTTTCTCTACCTCAAATTACAAGCTCCTTCACAAAAAAAAAATAATGGACATCCTTTATTCTTTTCTTATAAATATATCTTATTATATACATGAAATTAGCAAAAAGTAGATTTTCATGTTGAAAAAAACAACTTTTCAATTTAAAGATGAAACAATCACCAATTGCTCTTATTTTTAATAAAGCTTTTTAC